TTCAGCCAATTGCAAGATAACTTAAGAGCTCACAAAGAGCTAGGGACAGGACTGCTGTCACGTAGTCAGTGGACAAGGCCTGTTTCTTCATGTATCTGAGCCAAATAATTTTCCACTCCTATGAGAATCCATATTTTGGGGATACTCAATCGTACTCCTATACTGTATTTGGTACAGATACAGTCTTTGTTTCAAATTGGAATCAAATCTACCCTTCACCTATTAAATGAGCCTCTGCCTCATATGTAAAGAAAGGCGCTATGGTTTTGTTTTATTTTTCTATATACGTACTAAATTAGGAGCAGGAGAAGGCACATTTTCCCATCACCAGCTTTGGAATTATAGTCAAGTTCCTGTCCAGTTGTTTCTGTTTATAGAATGAGAATGTGGGCAATACCTTACCTCTACTCCAGGCAGCCAAATGTATTGGGCCAGTCTTGGCAATCCCTGTTATTTCTGTTATCTAAAGATGATGGACTATCTTTAGATTCTTTCAAGTGGGCTAATCAGTTACAATGAGGATGTTGTGACCTTCCTTCGTCAAGAAGGTTTGCTAATAGTTCAGGATGACTAGTGGAAGCTTCGCCAATGAGAGATAATAGTTGGGAAATAGTTAGAAAGCTCTCAAATGTGTTCAAATGAGATAGTAATCAGAGTTTTGAGTTGTTTTCCTCCCTTAGGTAATGGAAGATAATGAGTTCTGAGGAAATGACCATTTACTGATTGACAGTAATGGAAAGAGACAGAAAAAGCTGAAGACATTTTGGAATGAAGACACTCGCTTTGTTGTGTGGTAGCAGACTTTCTTCCTTGGAGGAATACACATTGTTAGCCTCCACTTGTGCTCAATTTTGTAAATAAAGCAACTATCTAAAATATTCTGCAGGTCTGCTGAGTCCTTTCACACATACATTACATACCTATCTTAAAAAAGACTAAATGGGTTGTGGAATTTGTTACAAAATAGACAGAATACAGAATTGCATTAAGAGCAGTGTACGTATGAACAATGAACATCAAAGCGCTCAGAAAGAGGGCTCAAGAATTCCTGCAATTTTAGGCCCTTCTTTGTTTGGATCCCTTATAAGGAAAAATGCTTCAGGGTTGCATGAGTGAAGCTCAGGTGTGTTCTTGGGACCAAAGGCAGCATTGAATAGAGCAGCAGAAAGATCAAAAAATGATGGAAGGTGAAGAAATTCAAAGCTTGGAGAAACTGATTTGTTTGTACAACAACCCTAAGAATCCTGCACTTATACGCATGCTGGCTGTGGGAGTCTGAGAGCTGTCCTCCAAAAAGTAGCATTTATTTTTGGAGTTAACATCTTATTACCTGCTTGTTTCCATTTAGCTCACTTACTGCAGATACTCATGTATAAGTCATGTTCGTGTATAAGTTGAGGACAGGTTTTCAGGCTAAAATCATGGATTTTGATATGGCTAACTTGGGCATCTGTTCGATGTTTGATGTTTTGTCTTATGTCTGATATAACAGGTTGCATTTTTTAAATTTAATTTTAGTTGTGAAGGCATAATTTGTTTTTATATGTTGAGTTGTCAATTTTTACTATTATGAATGTATTGTTGTTGTATTGTCGAAGGCTTTCATGGCCAGGATCACTGGGTTGTTGTAGGTTTTTCCAGTCTATATGGCCATGTTCTGGAAGCAATTTTTCTCCTGACGTTTCGCCTGTATCTGTGGTAAGCATCCTCAGAGGTAGTGAGGTCTGTTGGAAGTAGGAAAAATGGGTTTATATATCTGTGGAAAGACCAGGTGAATGTTTCAGCTGATCACCTTGATTTGCATTCAATGGCTTGGAAGTGCCTGGGGGGAATCTTTTGTTGAGAGTGATTTTATGTGCCTGTTTGTTTCCCCTCTGTTGTTTTGCTGTTGTAATTTTTGAGTTTTTTAATACTGGTAGCCAGATTTTGTTCATTTTCATGGTTTCTTCCTTTCTGTTGAAATTGTCCACATGCTTGTGGATTTCAATGGCTTCTCTGTGTAGTCTGACATGGTGGTTGTGAGAGTGGTCCAGCACTTCTATGTTCTCAAATAATATGCTGTGTCCAGGTTGGTTCATCAGGTGCTCTGCTATGGCTGATTTCTCTGGTTGGAGTAGTTTGCAGTGCCTTTCATGTTCCTTGATTCGTGTCTGGGTGCTGCGTTTGGTGGTCCCTATGTAGACTTGTCCACAGCTGCATGGTACACGGTAGACTCCTGCAGAGGTGTTGTTGTGTTTGGGCATTGAATTTTTGCTTTTTATTTTTGGAATCTGTCCTGAGTCCCTCCAGGGAGATAGTGGAATATAAATACAGTTTTATTTCTTATTATTATCAATCTGCAAAGAGAGGAAAGAACCAATCCAGTTGCGGGGAGGGGATGACAGCTACCCCTGGTCACTACCATCATGTCCCCACCATGAGAAATGGCCAGAAGCAGTGCTACGGCGGAGAAAGTAGGTGTCAGGTTCTCTTGGAACAGACTGAACATTTGTCTTTTGCCACTCTACTCAGAGAAAAGGAGGGTTCCTTTTTATTGATAAGAGTTATGGTAAAGTGGCCCATGAATAATTTCTAGCCTATACATGAGTATATAGGGTACTTCATTTACTTCACTTGAAATAAACTTTGGCTTCCCTTTTTTGAACTAGTGAGCGAATTGACAGGCTGTTGAAAGGTTTTTCTTCAATCCCAGTGGCAGAGATTAATGTGAGAACAGACTTTTCAGCTTGCTCAGGCAGCATGAAGGTGGTTTCTATTTCCACTTGACATTTTAAAGGTTGAAATTCACACAAAACTGTTGAAATGCATGTATGTCTTCAGTTCCTGAGTGTGAAGCAAAGTTCTCAAATCCTTGACCGGGGTGTATTGAGCTGCTTGCCAGGCTTTGTGCATGTGTCTTGTTCATGTGTCTGCCATATCAAAAAACCAAATTGAGGAGAAGGAGGGAATGTTATCATTCTCACACCTATCCCTATGACTTTGCTGTAATCTCAGAACTGGCTTTTTGCCCATTCATGACTCTGTGTTAGAACTATTACAGTGGGTTGAACTAATCTTCAAACTGAATTAGCCTATGATCTGACATCCTTTACAACTTCTCAGAACTAGCTTATGAGAAAATATCTTGATGGAAAGGTTGGCACAACATTTTTCCCAGCAAAGACAGAATTATAGCTCTATCCTTTGTGTAACATACATGCTCTACCGAGTTTTGAATAACTCAAAGATTCCAATATCATCATCGTCATCATCATCTTTAATTACTTATTAATCGCCCTCCATCCGAGATGCTCTAGGCAATTTACATTGCAGAAATTATACAGGATAAAACACATACATATCAAATCCTTCCACAACCTCCAGGTAAAGATATGTGACAAGCCGTTTCAAAAGGCTGCAGAGGTAAAGTAGCTTTTAATTGTTTCAGAACCACATTAAACCTTATCAGAAAGGCCCATGGATTCGCCCTGCATTGGGACAAATCCATGGTCTCCAGTGGGTGGGCATGGAGAAGCCACTGCTCCATACCCTGTATCACCCACCTTACCTTCCTCCTCATCCCATGGGGGGAAGTGTTGGTGCCCAGCTTCCCCCTATTGAAGGGATGGCAACACAGGAAGGCTTCCATGTTGCTGCAGCAGTAACTTGCACTGCTTCACCTCCCATTTCGGCATGGAGCTTGGCTGAAAGTCCCTTTACATCATGCCGAAAAGAGAGGTGAAACAGCATATGATGGGCAAATCGGCATGTCTGATGAGGTGGTAGATCATATATACTGTGGGTCCTTGGTGCCCACTAAGGTTTGGTTCCAGAATCTGCTTTGGATACCAAAATCCATGGATGCCTATGTTCCATTATATATAATGGTGTATTAAAACTGTGGCCCTTGTATAAAATGGTGACATCAAGTTTGCTTATGCAATTTTTTTATATAAAAGTCTAGCTGTGGATGGTGGAATCCATGGATACAAAATCTGTTGATACGGAGGATTGGCTGTGTAACCCATTTATAGGAAGGAACTGGGATCATGACTGTTTCACATGGGTTATGGGATTTAAGTTGCCTTCCCACTCCATAGTGCCAATAAAATCCTCTTTTTCCCATTTCTCAGCTGCTTCTACATCACATTTGTGAGTGTGACTTATAATCTGATTATTCCCAGAATTGATTAAAATGTTCTTTATAGGAATCTCCCGCTCCACCAGGTCAATTCTATAGTCAGTAACCATCAAATGTTGACTTTAGAGTCACACTACAGGACTTAGAGAGAACATCTCTTTAAGAATCTCTATATCCTCCAATGTGATTCCACTGGAAGATGACCATAGAATCATTCTGGAGGACCTAAAGACTCCTAAAGAGGTGCCCTCTTGGTTTCTTTGGTTGCACTTTCCCCACTTTCACAGAGATCCTGTACTCATAACACCAGCAAAAGTGGAGGGCTGACTATATTAACATATACAATGGCTTTAATATTCTGCCTAAGCAAAGGGGAATTCAGACCCAGTTTTTGGGACAATTTGACTAATAATACCTTTTTTGCTGTCTTCAGATCAAGAGCCATTTCTAACAAATCTTTCAAGTACAGAAAAGAGGAGTCAACTCTTTTAAACTGAGTATTCATGTAAAAAGAAGCCACAAGTGATGTTTTGTACTGACAGTACAGGCTTCCACTGCACAGATGTGGATGCATCTTTCAATGGGTTTGGAATGTGACTTCTCATATTGTGGGTCAGCTACAACTGTGTTTTGTCTTTTGAGACTTGGATGCAGGAGATTGTCCAGATGATTACTTCAGCTGTATTGCTGCAGTAAACTATTCCTGAATCTATTTGAGAAAGGAGTGAGGGCAAAGAACTGAATGAGCAGCGCCTGACCTTCAGATTATGCAGCCTGTCAGCCACAGTGTTCAATACTCTTAATATAGTTGTCCATGCATGGTGGCTGAGAGTTGTTCAGACTGACAAGAGCAACTGCTGTAGACGAAGTACTAGGTCATCCTCAAGCACAGCCAGCCTTTCCTGCTGCGACACGCGAAGCTGGGCAGTGAGTGATATCTCTTTATTTAATGTACCCTTCCTTCATCAACTGCTGTGAAGCTCAGGACATACAAGATGACACAGCAAGAAGATGGGGCAGAAGCTGGTATCCATCTTGTCAATTTCTTGGCAGGTAAATCCCACTCATTTAGAAGAGACCATATTGTAAGCAGAGTTTGTACCTGTTGCTTTGGCTAATGTATTCTGAAGAGGGTGTCATTTCCCTGTCCCTATTATATTAAAGAAAAGAAGGTTTGAGAAAACTCCCTCGCTATTTTAATTTCCCCTCCAACTCCAAATACAATAATATTGAACTGGCTCTGAGGGATGCTTGGAAGGAAGAACATTTACAATTAGGCTGGCCCTGATGGCCTGGAACATCAGTCTTAATTTTCCTCAATTCCCATCAGATTCATCTCAAAATAAGATGCAGAACATAGACATTGAGGAAATAGGTTTATTAAGTCACAATCAACACAGCTCACCTTTGAGTGCAATACATATTAAATTCTGAAGCAGTTCTTAGAGATTAAAGAAAGGGGTACTTCTAAATTGAGTTCATTAGGAAGGTCATCATGGAAGACCTTGGAGATTAACAGTGCAATCTTTTACACGTCTATTGAGGAGTCTAGTTGAGTTCTTCTGTAGCTAAATGGTTATAGGTCTGCAACCTAGTGTAATTTACTAGGGAGAAAAGTCCATTGAACTCAGGAGGGCTTTTATGTGAATAAAGATTGCTTATATATATAAGTTCCCGAGTATCTTCAGAATGGACATACCATTGTTGCCAACATGTGGTTGCCAATTTAACCGATTGTTCGGCTTTGTTAATTGATTGGAACTTTTCTGAGTGATTAAAATGTGCCATTAACTAGCCCAATTCTTTAAAATCCTTTTGTCTTATTTTTAACACAAGTGTTTACCAAAATACTCGCTTTAGCTTTTAAAAAACACGGTGTCTTGTCTCTCATAAAGCAGAAAAGACTACTTTTAAGAGTATGTCTTGCTATGACATACACAGCTCACAAAATCCGCCAACTAACATTGCCAAATAGTCCAAAGAGTACGTGTTTTTCTCAAAATGATTGCTTTCATTTGTACACAGGTTTATGCAGTTTAATCATTAACCTGCTTAGACATTTTTAACTAGGCAACAGCTTTAGTTCTCGGTGTTGAGCAATGCTTAATTTCTGATAAGAAAAGACGGAGGGGAGCTCTTTCAACCTCAATCTCAAACCTTTCATCGCCATTCTGGGGTGTGGTGCAGCATAGTTGAGGAACAGAAATACAGTCGGGCTTCAATATCCAAGGTTTGGACACCTTTACACAGCACTATGACATCATATGATATGATGACATCAGAAGACATTTGAATACTAAGGCTGACAAGGATTTGGACACCACCTACAGAATGAAGATCTTTTAGGTAAGTCTTATATAAATCATTTCACACCATTACTGTCATGCAAGAATTATACAAATCTGTTGACTTTGATACCTGGAAGTCTCGGCAGTTGTCTGTATCAGATCAAATTTAAAAGAATCTGTTGTTTCAAATAAGAATTGTTTCTGAAAGGACCTGCAGACCGACACCAAAATATTGAGCCACTCCATTATTTTTCTAGCCACTTCACTGTTTCTTGGCCAATAGGTTTATCCTTTTCATTGGCCATTTTAACAGTTCTAACGAGGAATTATCCCTAGGCTTTGTCACTTGTGGATCTAATAATATAACCTGTTTCTTTGGCAGTCTATTCCCATCCTATGGTCAGAAAAAAACTAAAATCGTGGTTACTGGTGCAGGCAAGGAAAACTGAACAGGGAGATTGGCAGCTACTGAGTAGGAGACAGACCTATGAGTCTTGTTACCCACAAGTTATTGTAGTAAACAGTAATACAATGTATCCAGAGCAGAACCAAGCCTTTCTACCTTCCATCAGCTTACAATCATTACTTCTTGTGTTCTGTCCCAATTGTTTCTAACCATTAGATGATCTTTCTGTAATGTACATGACGTTTACTAAATAAAGGCAGCTATCTCTAATATATGTATTTAACTGGTATTTTGTTGAGCCCAGAGTTACAATGGTTTAATCTAAAGCTCAAATATAACCTTAGTTGAAGATCCACTTTATATATGATGATGAAAATGTGCATTCCAGAACAAGTTCACATCCACTAAGTTTCTTCAGATCTGGTACCATTTAGATGTTTGGACTCCCATCTGTCATTAACACCAGTCAATCAAGCTGATAGTTGGGGATGATGGAATGACAGTCCAAAATGTATTTCAAAAGTACTCTGTTGGGAAAAGCTGGATGGGAATATGAGCAAGGATAGCTGAATTATCACATACACATACCTTCATTGAGTTTCTCTCATTTCTGTCAACTTTGGAGTCCAGTTGGCAGAGAAGTACTCTGGAGGACTAATAACTGAAGTAGGACTGATAAGCAAAAAGCATTTCAGCACCTCTCACCAGCATGCTCCTAACACCTCTAAAATTGTACCCTTGCTCTAAAGCTTCACATGTGAATGGAACATTATTTTAAAGAGACACGTCAACCTGTTTATCTGTATTTTAAGGTAGTGATTCTCATGTGAATGACATGGTGAATCTGCCTGGAATTGACTCTGAACTTTAAAGGAGCTATCTAAGATGTTTAAGCAATTTGGGGGGATATGATAGTTTCTTTACAGTTTAGACTAAACCCAGAATGGATTCCTCACCAAATTGACACAGAAGCACCAACCACCACTGCCTACCACCTTCATGTGTATCTTGAGCACCATTTAGTGCAAATGTTTCAATCCAGTGTCATGTGTTTCTGTGATGAAGTGGAAATATTGTTCTATAACATGCTGCCACCACCCCTCTCTGAAGATCTCACTCGCCCTGGAAGCCAAACTCCTTGTATTTGCTGTCCATATCATTCCTGAAGAGTTCCAAGGCCTTCCTCATTGCTGCTTGGGACTCGGCCCCAAAGTCTGCAGAATGTTTCTCAGCAATGACACCAACAATTACTTCAGAAATTAACTGTATCATAGAATTGGGTTGGGGGAGAGAGAGGGAGGGAGGGAGGGGGAGAGAGAGGGAGGGAGAGAGAAAGAGAACTTAAAGATAGAAACTTGGAACAAGAGTGCATATCAAACTGTCAAAGTAGGGAAGGGCCAAGTGTCAGTCTGCCATGGCTGCTCAACTAAGAGCCTGTCCCTCCTGGGAAGACAAGGCTAGTCCAAGACATTTTAGTCCCTGAGGTAAAGAACAAAATAACCTCCTTTTCTATTCCATGTACAAAAGCCGACTGGACAGACAGCTGATTTTCTTCTTGGCACAAATGATGAGTCAGGTTCTTTTTAGTGCAACAAAGCTCAAGAGACTCAGAGCAAGCCATGTGGTGGCCAGCGCTACCCTCCATTGCTTTTCCTATCAATGCCCTAATATCATATTTGCTTATTTTCCTATACAATATAAATATAGCAGTGCTAATGCTTTTGGCTAGTTTCTTCACACTGGTCGGGTTTATACAATCCTACTTTTCTGTTAGCAATATATCTTTGAATCCTAGGAAAACTGCTTTTGAAATTCATTTGTTCCTGTAACTTGTTATCTCCTGTTCGGGTTTTTTAAATGACCGGTAAGCGCTGTTGGAAATTCGTAACAATGTTTGGAAAGGAACTCGGTGTTTTACTGTTTTTGCTTTTTGTTACTTTTCTGCCTTGCCAGCTACTGGCTTCAACAAAAGTTGGGCACTATCCAACCTAGAAGCTTTTGAGAGGATGAATGGCCATTTGTTGGGGGTGTTTTGATTGTATTCTCCTGTATGACGGAGGTAGACTGGGTGGCCTCTTTCAACTCTAGATTCTATGATTCTATGATTGTTCTGCTCCTGAGATTAGGACACAAAACAATGTATTCAAACTCCAGGAAAAGAAATTCCACCTCAGTATTAGGAAGAACTTCCTGATGATAAGAATTGTCCAATAGTTGAATATGTCACTTCAGAGTATGGTGGACTCTCTTTCTCTGGAAGTTTTTAAAATGAGGCTGGATGGCCATCTGTCAGGACTTTGTGCATGGCCCTCAGGGTCTCTTCCAGCTCAGGGATTCTATGATACTAAACATTCTATAATATTCCCAAAACACCTTGCAAAAATGAATGCAAATAAAATGGAATTTGGAAAAGTTACTATTTTGGCTTACCATTCTCTAGATATGCCAGCCATCATATCTCCTGGCTGTCAGGGCAGAGGGAATCTGGGAACTGTATCCCAAAAAGGAATTTTCCCACATTATAGGCAAAGTATTAACCTTTTTTCTGGTGGCCTGGTCACTCAAGAACAATTGTATGTAGCCTTTAACATAGCACCACTATGTGTGTGTGTGTACTCACCTCCAGGTATTTGACTGGAATTTTATGCTTGGTGGCATGGCTCTGGGCCAGAGGTGTGAGTTCCGCCTCGTGCTGCCCTTTCTGCTTCAGGATCTTGCCCAGAGCAGTGAGGACAATTGTTCCATGCTTCTTGAGGTCTTCTGAGTTCTTCATCTCATCCAGTGACTTCAGGTTTTTGAATCTGTCAAACTTCTCTTGGGTCTCAGGATGTTGTCCAAATAACCTGCCAGTTGAATGCAAGAAAGACGACTTGAGGAAGGAGTGAAAGTTGAATAAACTGCATCCTTCAAAGAACGTACACTATAACCATAGATGCTCCCCATATGTTATTTATGCCTCTCAGTGGTATACTTATGAGGAAATTTTGTTGAAGGTTTTAAAAAAATCATATGAGAGCAGAAAATTATCTGAAAGGCAATTTCAGGAATATAATTTTGGGGGAAGGCTAGCTGAGCTACCTTTCTCTTTCTCTTATATTAGTGAATAATATCTGAAACAGATATCAGATGTCATAGAGATCTTACAAATCAGCAGCTAGTAAAAAGGCAGGAAGCAGAATTAAGGACAAAAGGACACAAGGAAAGGAAAATAGTGGTGTATTCATAGTCAAGAATCTCTATGGAAACTGATGTTGTTGACATTATTTCTCCATGCTCTTAGAAGAAAAAAATGGAGTGAGCTACTAGTGAATAGGAAGAATTAGGCTCCATATATATATAGATAGATAAAGGTAAAGGTTTTCCCCTGACATTAAGTCCAGTCGTGTCCGACTCTGGGGTGTGGTGCTCATCTCCATTTCTAAACCAAAGAGCCAGCGTTATCCATAGACACCTCCAAGGTCATGTAGCCAGCATGACTGCATGGAGCGCCGTTACCTTTGCACCAGAGCAGTACCTATTGATCTACTCACATTTGCATGTTTTCGAGCTGCTAAGTTGACAGAAGCTAGGGCTGACAGCGGAAGCTTACACCACTCCCTGGATTTGAACTTGCAACCTTTCGGTCAACAAGTTTAGCAGCTCAGTGGTTTAACCCACTGCACCACCGCAGGCTCCTATATATATATATATATATATATATATATATATATATAGCTAGATAGACATCTATTTAAATATCATGTATAGACGTAGTGAAACAATTTTTAAGAATTCTCTGTGTTGCCACTTTGGTTTTGTTCAAACTGTAAGTGAAATTATTATAATTAATCCAGGCAAAAACACATACCTTTCCTAGAACTACTTACTGGAATCCACAACTCAATATGTCAAAGTCATGGGCTCCAAAAACCTGGATAAAGCCAAACTCTACTTTGATGTCAAAATGAGGCCTTGGCACCGATGAGGGCTCCAAGCAGTGTAGAATCATAGAATCATAGAATCAAAGAGTCGGAAGAGACCTCATGGGCCATCCAGTCCAACCCCCTGCCAAGAAGCAGGAATATTGCATTCAAATCACCCCTGACAGATGGCCACCCAGCCTCTGTTTAAAAGCTTCCAAAGAAGGAGCCTCCACCACACTCCAGTTCAGAGAGTTCCACTGCTGAACAGCTCTCACAGTCAGGAAGTTCTTCCTCATGTTCAGATGGAATCTCCTCTCTTGTAGTTTGAAGCCATTGTTTCACGTCCTAGTCTGCAAGGAAGCAGAAAACAAGCTTGCTCCCTCCTCCCTGTGGCTTCCTCTCACATATTTATACATGGCTGTCATATCTCCTCTCAGCCTTCTCTTCTTGAGGCTAAACATGCCCAGCTCCTTAAGCCGCTCCTCATAGGGCTTGTTCTCTGGACCCTTGATCATTCTAGTCGCCCTCCTCTGGACAAATTCCAGCTTGTCAATATCCCTCTTGAATTGTGGTGCCCAGAATTGGACACAATTTCCAGGTGTGGTCTAACCAAAACAGAATCGAGGGGTAGCATTACTTCCCTATTTTCACTACTATGAAGCTACTGGCCTTCATAGTAGTGTTGAATCCACTCATATGTTTTAATCTGTACTTTAAAGAAGCCATTCACTGCACCCTTTGTTGTGTGCCTTGAAATAATTCCTGACCTACAGAATGCTGATGCTTGATGCTCAGGTGTTGGTGGTGGCCAGGAGGTCCTTTGGACAGTTAAAGCTTGTGCACCAGCAGCGGCCGTACCTCAAGAAGTCTGATTTTGCCACTGTGGCCCATGCCTTTGTTACCTCCAGATTGGATTACTATAACACACTCTATGTGTGGCTGCCTTTGAAGACGGCCTGGAAATTGCAATTGGTACAAAGGTCGGTGGCCAGGTTGCTAACTGAAACTACTTACAGGAAGTGGACAGCCCCCCTATCAAAACAGCTCCACTGGCTGCTGATGAGTTTCCGGTCCCAATTTAAGGGACAGGTTATCACCTACAAAACCCTGAACAGTTTGGGTCCTGCCTATCTTCATGATTGCTTATTCCCATATGAACCTGCACAGGTTTTAAGATCTGCTGGGAAGGCCCTTCTCTTGCTCCTGCCTCTGTCACAAGCATGGTTGGTGGGAACGAGGATGCGGGCCTTCTTGGTGGTGGCCCCCCAGCTCTGGCACTTTCTCCCCAGGCAGATGAGATTAGTGCCCATCCTGTCCACCTTCTGTAAAAACCTGGAAACTTTGATGTTTCAATGTGTCTTTGATTAATCAGGTCATTTATTGACTAGGCCCCCCATCCCTAACTTGGTGTCTGGAACTTTATTACGAGGCCCGCCCTTGCCCCACCCTCCTAGATCAGAACATGCCCACTGTTCTCGGCTACTGGTTGATTCTTATTGATGTTATTATGTTTTTATGATGTCTGTTGCTCAGTTTTATTATTTTAATTATTGAAATACAATGTACTTTAATTGTGTTATATCTTACTTCTGTTTTTGCTGGGCTTGGTCACCATATAAGCCACCCTGAGTCTCTTCGGGGAGATGGTGGCAGGATATTAGAATACTATTATTATTATTATTATCATCGTCGTCGTCGTCGTCATCGTCATCATAATTGGCTTATCACACTGGTATTACAACCACACATGGAGGAAATAGCATTCAGATGTCTTTGCTGAATCTATATCAGTGCCTGCTTTGGTATGTCTTATTCTAAGAACCTCAGATAGTTGAGCTTCTGGAGACAATGCAGATCTTTGCACTTGCTTTGTGTAACATATAGACACTGGATTGCTATAGCTGTAATCCTCTCTTTTATTCATTGTTAATTATTCATTGAGTCCAGGCAATTACAAGAGCAGTCAAAATGCTTGGTTAAAAATAGATGATTTGATACCCTCCCTTGCCTCAATAACTTATCCAATAAAAATGCTAAAACAAATAGAGGCAGATCAAGAATTAGCATTCCCAGGTTCACCTGCCAGGTTATCTTTCCCTCTTTACAGATCAGCCATGTAATTTTTTTACAAATGCAAATATATACAAATATGTACAAAACAAACACCAAATAAAAAGGCACCTACATACTTAGAAAGAAGAAGAAAATAAAACTACTCTATCAATCCCTAGAAAAGACAAAAAATGGTAAAATATTCTATTTAAAAATAACTAACACCATACACTAACACCTCAACCAATATTTTACACACAAAAACCCATAAAATTGACTTTCTATCCTCCAGTCCCAAAATCTAAATCTATACATGTATTAAACTTCTCTTTATTATCAACCAAAAATTCTGGCTATACATATGAGTCTTCAAATTCCATTTACTTTTATTTTTGTTTATAAATGCTAAAAACAGCTCCTAGTCCTTCAGAAATTTATTCAGTGACATTTATTTAATCAAATTCTATATTTGGCCATTTCATCCATTTCAAACACTCTTTTTTGTGAGAAGAATCAAAGATTTCCATTTTTGAGCATAAAGCATTCTTGCAACTAATATCATATAAAGACCATATAAATTTCCACTCTTAACAATATGTCCAGCATATTCTTAAAACATGACTATACCAAGTTTTCAGGAACACCGCTTCTCAGCTTTCTGTCACCAGCTTCTGCTTACCTGAGGATGACCTCCTGCCCATAAGCAGGGATTTCTGGTTCCACTTTCCCCCAAATATCTATGACCTTTTGCCATTCCTGATCACTGAGCCCCATGATGTTAAAAAAATAATGGAAAGTGAGCCTTTTGCTGAAGAGATGCAAACGGCTTCTGTATACGTTTTTGAATGATATACAGTCAGAGAGACCTGTGGTTTTAATAATCTGACTTGGAGAATGACACCTGTCACTTGACAACTCAAGTCTAGGTCATTCTGGTCAAATGCCCAGTCAGTCAGTCAGTCTCTCTCTTTCTACTCTCTCTCACCCACTGTTTTGAGTCAGGTGCTATTGTGACAGCCCTAAGTGAAATAATTGCTGCATTGGGTATTGGCCAGGCATAGAGCCCATGTCCCAACAAAAGATTTGGTGCCAGGAATTTGTTCCTCAACTTGCATCCCAAGAACAAAGAAGAAAACATTCCATGTTGAGTTGTAGATCAAAGAGGACAGACAACACTTTACATGGAAGATCACCAAGTGGAACAGTATTGTGTGGGTGATGCAAGTTCAAACTCCCTCCCTTCCCTTGCCAGTTTCAAAACCTAAACCACACTTCAGGGATCTATTAAATTTATAAGGGAGGAGATACAGCTACTTAACTTACCACCTCATCACACTGAGAGAATGAAGCAATCTATCACACTGCAAGTATGCTTCCTACATGGAGCCTGCTGGATGCATCGCATGATGTAAAGCAACTTCGAGCAGGGCTCAGTAGAAGAAGCATCCTGGCAGTATGCTAGGACACTTCCCTGGGAACACCGGAGGTTTCCCTATTCCATAGAGAAGAACGGGGGGAAGCCAGGTGGTGATGCTTCACCCTATGGGATGTGGTAAGGGGTGCAAGTGGCAATGCAGGGCACAGGGGAAAGGGTTTCCCTCCACTTCCCTATGTATTCATCACACTGTGTGGTGAATTCTCCTGCTGCCCATGGAATCAGACCTCAGTATAATGAGGTCCCTACTCACAGAAGGGGATAACAGCTCTTCCAAACCATAGGCTCTTTCACAATACACAGTTATAACACTATTATTCCACCTTACCATTCTACAGAATCCTGGGATTTGCAATTTAGAAAGAGGCATTTAGGTTTCTCAGTCAAAGAAAGCTGTAGGGTCTCATCAAACTACAGACCCCTGGATTCCATAGGATGGAACCATGGCAGCCAAAGTGAAATCATAACCCAATGTGATTCTGTAGTGTGAAAGGACCCTGAGGAAAACCTCACAGAGGGGAGAGCTCTGATATATATGGAGACCTGTATTTTGTCACTTGGGGTTAAAAATAAAAACCCTTATCTCTGGTATGAAATGTGATTTGGCCCATAAGACTATCCTCAAAAATGCCTGATGAATATGTTCATCATCGGACACCTCTTTGACCTTGTACACACTATGAGGGCCAGCCCAAGACATTTCTTTCTTCCTGAAACAAGAGAAGCAAATGACACTCATTCCAGCAAAGGTAAATAGTGTCAAAAACCAACCAAGTTATTTTGTCACATCCCACAAGTGTCTCAATTCCACCATTTCCCTCTCTGGTATGTAAATATAGTTTTAAAAAGTCTTGAACAGTGGTTTTCAACCTGTGGGTCCCCAGGTGTTTTGGCCTACAACTCCCAGTAATCCCAGACAGTTTACCAGCTGTTAGGATTTCTGGGAGTTGAAGGCCAAAACATCCGGGGACCCACAGGTTGAGAACCACTAATCTAGTATAATATAAGGAAATGTCTTTATGTCCAAAGCAAGCACTATTCATTGTGCATGAATCTAGATGCCCTTTTAAAACTACAGCTCCCAGAATCCCAGGTTAGCATGAAGGATTCTGGGGACTATGGCCTGAGCTCAGAACATGCGTTTATGCAAGATGTAAGAAACAGAATGAGAACTTCTTCATTTTCGTACCTATCCTTTGAAATGACTATACTGCAACCCGTGACAATCAGGCCTCCTGATATATATCCAATAAATGTATCCAATAAATGGGCTCATCATATTATCCTCTTTACATAGTGCATAAGCATTACTAAACAAAGTAACATACATTTGTATTACTCCAAATATAGGATCTTTAATGACACATACAAAAAATCCAAAAAGACAGGGTGACAAATCAATACTAGTTGTGAACTAGTATTGACTGAAGTATTTTGCTCCAGATGTACAGATCTACTTGCATTACTTGTCCAACTTAGCATTTATTAGATTGATACTAAAACCCTGAAGCTGAATGCCTTTTCACTGGTTATCACAGGCAAGCCTTGCCTTTGTGTGCATGATGTACTGTCATCTTGTGGCTCTAAATGAGAAGTGCAGCAAGAATAATTTATGACATTGTTGGATTTTTTTTAAAGAAGTTTCAGCTTCTGCTTTGTGATTGAATGAAAGGCGGTGGCACTCATAGAAGGAAAGGGAGAGGCAAGCAATGCCTCTACAACAGCTTTCTCCAACTTCCTGCCCTCTAGTCATGTTGGAATAGCTGTCTGGAGAATAAGGGAGTTGTAGTCCAATACAACTGAAAGACACCAAACTGGGGAAGGTTGTGGTGCACACAAGAATCAAAACTGCCAGGTAATTGTTGTGAACATCAGAGAGGAAAGGTAGCAGGTGGACTAATTAACATCTTATTAACAGAATGTCGATTGCTGGCAGCTATAACATCATTACCTTGGAGCAAATATGTACATTTCAAATGAGATGAAGCTGCATAGACATTGTACTCAGATCAGCTTAGAATGGAAACAGTTTAAATGCAACTTGCTCTGTACTACTAGAAGCAAACACTCATACCATTTTCCACTTGTGCTCCCAAATCTGGTTGTTTGCTCTGCAGAAAAAGTAATCCACCAAATTGCCAGGATTAGAGAGAGAGATTTTTTCAGTCTTTCACCAATGGGGTTAACCCCAGCCAATTTCTTCTCTAAACAAGCCATCTTTGATTAATCATCCTTGACTTTCTGAAATTTCACTCAGTGGTGGCTTGTCCACATCCGTGGAGTGATGAATCCGAGCTGAGTTTTAGTGTGAGCAATAAAGGAGTTATTCAAACTGATGAACATATTTGAACCATAGAGTTCAGCACCTTGGATAGATCTCTGGAAACTCAAACCATTTTTCTACATGTTTTTTTCCAGGCAGTTTAAATATGTAGTTCTCTTTCAGCCCTTAAACTATATCTTAATGGCATAGCCACTGGCAGAAGTCTGTCCAACAGCAGCCCTAGAACTAGATAGTTGCTGAAATATATTTGCAGGACCAATTTGGCAAGAAAGAGATGTTTGCATGCTCATAAACTTAATCCTGATAGTAAGAAGTATATAGAGTGTCAACATGTTGCAGTGGTTTGAGCATTGGATAACAACTCTGAAGGTGAGTGCTCAAATTCCTGCTCAGCCATGGAAACCCACTGGGTGACCATAGGCAAGTCACTCATTCTCAGCCTCAGAGGAATCAAAGGCAAACCACCTCTGAACAAATATTGCTTTAAAAAACCATGATAAATTCACCTTAAGGTTGCCATAAGTAGAAAATGACTTGAAGACACATAACAACAGCATGACACCCCAAAGACAAACAACACCAAAGCACTAAGGAAGAAGTAACAGTTACTTTAAATGTGTCTTGAGGATAAACAATAACGTACATTCAATTGGTAGTGCAAGCTAGAATTGACCCACTGCAGGCCAATATAAATGCAATCATTTAGTTCTAGTTGAGACAATTGTTAGATTTACAACAGACTGACTATCCAGTTTGTCATTGCATTTTTTGTTCTTATTCCTATTTATTTATTCCTTGCCTTTTCTTTAAGGAGCCCAAGATCCCATAAATTGTTTCCTTCCATCCTTATTAAGTAAGGATCTTAAGATTAATATAAGATTAATTACACTAAGAATGATTAGCCCAGGATTATTCAGAGAGCTTAATCACTGAGTTGACCTTTGAACCTGCATCTCCCTATCCCTGGTCTGTTACTATACCCATTACACCAAACTGGTTTATGGTTTGTCCCATTAATGAACTGATCTCAGAAAGGCATGCTAAGGAGTAGATTAACCCACTTTCTTACAGTTATCGGCTACACCCTGTTCTCGAGAAGGAAGAATTGGCCCAGTGATTCGTGTTTTGATCTTTTCTCATTTAATCTACTGTAATGCCCTTTGAACAAGTCTTATCAAGAAAATCCTGCAATAGGGTTGCCATTCCTCAGAAACAACTGGAAGGCACAAAACAACAAAAGTCTATGAAATATTATATAAATTTATATTTTGTGAACATATTTATTATGCCTGGAGAGGGGTTGCTTTCAGATTTCATAGGCACACATGAAGTTTGAAATAGATGTCATCCCCAGAACTTACTAAATATCAGGTGCAATATACAAATCTTGAAAGCAAATAACATATGTGTAGCCAATCTGTTATTGCGGTATTCACTCTTTTTTTTCAGAGCAGTGCCGACCTCTTGCCTCCCCCAATCTCTGATAAACCACTGACATAATAGCATTGGGTTGTTTGCTCTTTATGACTTTCATTTCAAGTTTCTTATCCATTTATTATCCTGTAACTACTCTCCACTGCTCTTCAGCTCCTCCTCGACAGCCAACCTTTTATGTTAGCCAGTAGCACCAAGGCAAGGCAGAAAGGTGGATCTGAAAGGGATTTAGTGAAACTGTTGCTCTGAACTTTAAAGGAAACATCCAAAACATCCTGAAATTCTCAGGGTAGAGTGCCACACCTATCCTCCCCTAAATAGATGTACCATTCCACCCGACTCTGAAATTGTAATAAACAGATATGTGGATTGTCCAAATGTTGTCCAACCATCCATGCTGCAGAAAGAGGTGATAAAAGAATGAAGAGCTTCAGGCTTCTTTAGGGGATGGATATTAGTTTAGCTACAAAAATCTGAAAATTATTTTCTACTTAATCATAGAGTTGGAAGAGACCACAAGAGCCATCCAGTTTACCAAGCAGAAATATACAATCCAAGTGCTTCTGACTGATGACCTTCCAGAATCTGTTTTAAAATCCCAAGAAAATGATTCTCCCACACTCAGAGGTAGCATATTCCACTGCTGAACAGCACTTACTATCGAGACATTTTTTCCTAATTTTAAGTGGAATCACTTTCCTGTAGTTTGAATCCATTGATGTTAGTTTCTGGAACACAAACAAATCCCCCCCCCCCCTCAATATAGCATCCTTTCAAATATTAAACATGGTTATTATGCACCCTCTAAACCAGTGTTTCTCAACCTGGGGGTCGGGACCCCTGAGGGGGTCGCGAGGGGGTGTCAGAGGGGTCGCCAAAGACCATAAGAAAACACAGTATTTTCTGATGTCATAGGGATTCCATGTGGGAAGTTTGAGCCAATTATATCGTTGGTGGAGTTCAGAATGTTCTTTGATTGTAATGAACTATAAATCCCAGCAACTACAACTCCCAAATGTCAAGATCTATTTTCCCCAGACTCCACCAGTGTTCACATTTGGGCATATTAAGTATTCGTGCCAAGTTTGGTCCAGATCCATCAATGCTCATGCACACTGCTCTCTGGATATAGGTGAACTACAACTCCCAAACTCAAGGTCAATGCCCCTCAAACCCTTCCAGTGTTTTCCATTGGTCATGGGAGCCAAGTTTGGTTCAAATCCATTGCTGGTGGAGTTCAGAATGCTCTTTGATAAGTGAACTATAAATCCCAGCAACTACAACTCCCAAATTACAAAATCAATCCTCCTCCAACCCCACTAGCATTCACATTTGGGTGTATTGGGTATTTGTGCCCAGTTTGGTCCAGTGAATAAAAATGCATCCTGCATATCAGATATTTACATTATATATTTACATTACATTATAACAGTAGTAAAATGACTGTTATGAAGTAGCAATGAAAACCATATTATGGTTGGGGGTCACCACAACATGAGGGACTGTATTAAGGGGTCACGGCATTGGGAAGGTTGAGAACCACTGCTCTAAACCATCTTCATATTCTGCTTCCTAAGCTGTTCCTCACAGGGCTTGGCTTTCAGACATACCATTTTGGTCACTGTTCTCTGGACATGCTCTAGCTTGTTGATATCCTTCTTAAATTTTGGTTCTCAGAACTGCACACAGTATTCCAGGTAAGTCCTAATCATAGCAAAATAGAGTGGTATTATGATTTCCCTCAGTCTAGACAATATAATCCTATTGGTGCAGTGAGGAACTCCATTGATCTTTTAGCTGCCACATCACACTGCTGATGCATGTTCAGCTTGTGGTCAACTAAGACTCCTGGATCCCTTTCGCATGTACTGTTTTCAAGCCACATGTCACCCATCCTATATATCTGTGCGGATGTGAGAGCTGGGCCATAAGGAAGACTGAGCGAAGGAAGATAGATTCTTTTGAACTGTGATATTGGAGGAAAATTCTGAGAGTGCCTTGGACCGCAAGAAGATCCAGCCAGTCCATACTTCAGGAAATAAAGCCCGACTGCTCACTGGAGGGAAGGATATTAGAGGCAAGGATAAGTACTTTGGTCACATCATGAGATGACAGGACAGCTTAGAGAAGACAATGATGCTGGGGAAAATGGAAGGAAAAAGGAAGAAGGGCCAACCAAGGGCGAGATGGATGGATGGTATCCTTGAAGTGACTGGCTTGACTCTGAAGAAGCTGGAGGTGGTGACGGCCAACAGGGAGCTCTGGCATGGACTGGTCCATGAGATCACAAAGAGTTGGAAGCGACTGAATGAATAAACAACAACAAACAAATAGTCATCTGTTGAGGGAGCTTTGAATGCGATTTTCCTGCTTCTTGGCAAGGGGTTGGACTGGATGGCCCACGAGGTGTCTTCCAACTCTATGATTCTATGATTATATGTTTTTCAATTCTGGTCCTGTCTTCTGAAATAATGGCTATCCTTCCTAATTTGCTAAGTCATACTGTGTTCAAAATGGAGCTTATTAACAGGCAAGGATTAGAGCCTTAGGTCATAGGACCATGACAGACATTTTTTAAAATGGTTTGGAAGGAACAATAACTTTTTCTTTTCTTGCATAATTCTAGGTCCCAACAAAACTGATTTGAGAGACAAGTGGGAAAGAGACAGATTTTTTTATTCAGCATTGCATGAATATAAAAATAAGACCAGAAAAGTTAGTTGCTTGGAGTGGGAATCTCACTTTTTTAGGTCATGTAGGTTTACCAAGAATGGGCAGAGTGTGTCATTTCTCCTACCTCAGCCTGGATAGAGTTTGAGATTTTCTTTGGGTATTAATTGTTGTGGTTGCTGCTGCTGATGTTGTTGTGGGCCTTCAAGTCATTTCTTGCTTATGGCAGTACTAAAGTGAATCTATCAGTAATTTTTCATGACAAGATTTGTTCTTCTTAGGCTGAGAACATGTGACTTGCCTAAGGTCATGCAATGGGTTTCAAGGAGGGATTTGAACCCTGGCCCCCTAGAGTCGTAATATAGCACTGAAACTACTGTATAAAGTTAGCTGTCAGATACCAGCTTAGTGCTTAAGTCAACAGTTATAAAAAAAAGATTCTTGTACTAGTCCAGTTTGCTTTTGTTTATAGAATGGGTAGAAGATATTATTGTGTTCCTTTCCTCAGAAAGTATAACATACAACACCATTCCTGCCTTTCATCCTTTTCCCCACTCTTGTTTCCTTTTCAGACTTGGAATAAGCTCATGTTGAAAAGAGAGAGCCCGTAGATATCTGACAGAATGACTTCCAAAGAATACCAAGTTTATGAAGGTGGGTCTCCTTGGGGATGAGGCCATAGCTTGGTGGTGAGGTTTCACTTTTACATGCCAAAGAGTCCAAGAGAAAAGTGGTCTCAGCGAAAAGGCTGGTTTGTCTTGATTCTAAGAGGATTAGTCTGCTGCAATTTGAATTCAACCTGAATCAGTTTGAATCTCCCAAGTTGGTTAGGAATTTGGGATTTGTCTGAAGCAGTTTCACAGCCATAATTTACAACCTACATTCTTGAAGGAGCTTTGGATAGCTTTGGAAGTTATGTTCAGAAGAACACTGTGAGAGCTAGGCTAGATTGGCAAATGGCTCAAGACAACCCTGTAAATTTCATGGTTGAGTGCACCCTCAAATTCAGTAGTCTTCAAGTTCCATTAATGTTCCTCATATTATCTGCATGGCTCTCAGAACATCACCACACATCAGAATTGTGTTGAGACCAATCCTGCCTAAGAGGCATGTCTACTCAGCAAGCAACCCTGGCTCTAATCCAGGCATGGATAAACATAAACTCCCAGACTTCCCAACAGTCAGTAAGATGGCTGGGATTCTTGGGATTTGAAGTCCAAAACACCTGGAGGACCAAAATTTGCCCATGCCTGCTCTAATCTCAGATGTTCAAGCAGTGATGGAAATACATGCATGCACAAGGTGCTCTTCTCTTTGTTGCTTCATGTTCCAACAAAGAGCTTAGGTACCAAACATCAAAAGCCCTTTCCCAGCTGCTCCCAGTCTTGAAACAAAAGGTGCCTCTGCAATTTCGAATTAAGGTAGTTGGACACTACTTTAACTGCCATGACTCAATTCTATTGACTCTTGGGATTTGTAGTTCAGTGGGATCTTTGGCAGAGAATGTTTTTAAAAATACCATGGCAGTTAAAGTGGTGTCAAACTGAATTAATTCCACAGTGTAGATGCAACCAAAGAAACCTGAATAATTGCTCTTAGCAAATTATGATTAGTTTTTGAAGATTCCCTTGCACAACTAGAGGGGTTTTTTGTTTGTTTGTTTTCTTGTGAATTGATTTAGAACAATTGAAGTATGATGACACCTCAGAAAACTCAGAGGATCTGCTGGATGAATTCGATGCTGAACAGTGGCGAAGTCTTCTGGACGAAGATAGAGATTACTACATGGAAATGACAAAGAATGAGAGTGAGCTTGAGAGGTAACCAAAACCTATATCTGTTCAAAGATAAACCACTTCACCTTCTTTAATAGCTGGCCATAACTGCCAAGCCTTGAGGAGTCTTGACAACACAAGGAGATAATCCCATGGCTACAATCAGCCACAGAGCCACAAGTAGCATACAATCAAAGCAATAAAGATTTACAGTTGGACAACAGCTATATTAGAAAGATGGGTGGAATGGGGAATAAGATGTTTCCATCTCTCATTTCACATAGCCTGGTGCTGCCAAAGGTTTGGAAAGTTCAGGGTTGCCAGTGTGGCATTAGTGGTGTCCAATTACTTTAATTCTGCAGTGTAGATGCACCCTCAGAAGGGATTTAGACAGTTTTGTCTTCTGAAACATAGACTACACACCTGATATTCACCGGCAGTTTCCCATTAGCTTCCAAGATCAGATGGCATCTGGTGCCTTTTGGATGACAGGGAATTTCAGCTGCTGGTTTCATGACAACTAACACCAGATAAAATCCTTTTTTCTGCATAACCATTAAAGATACAGGACCCGTCTTTAGTCACTCTTGACAACCATATATTACTTTGGGGATTTATAATGCCCAGGATCTAATGCATCACATCTTGATTCTGTAGTCATCTGGTATTAGTGTACACATGAAATATTTCTGTGTACCTGAAGTACTTTGTCTTTGTTGTGCAAACCTAGCCTACTTTTTTCATTCATTTAATCCTTCCTTTCTCCTACTTCAATTTGGTTCAAAGTCCCCAAAGGGGAAGGCAACAAAAACTCCCCAACTGGGCTTTGGAGGAGGGTGTCCTTTAATTCTTTGTGGTCCTCCACGCCTGTTAAGCTCCTTTCAAGTTCAAGTGTTTACCTTTTGTGACTTCCTTCTTATCAGTATCTTGAACCATTTCTCCCACCCCTGCCTTCCACTCTTTAGAGAGGATTATAGGATTAATTTCAGATCAATTAATTTCTTATGAACCAAGTGTTTACACAAATATATGCAAAGCAATAAGAAGAAAGAGAATCAGAAGGAAAGTGTTGCTGCTCATTAAGAGATCCTCAAAAATATTCTGATGTCACATCAATCAATTCAGGAACAAGAACAGAAATATAAAAATACTCATCTGAAAGAGAGTCTGTAGAATTTATTGGAGTTTTCCATTAATGTCACCTGTGTGGTTTTAACATTCTTTAAAATGGTTTGTGGTGGTTTAGTGATAAGGACTTTACCAGCAAATAGATCCTTGAAGTATCCTAGAATATCCATTATTTGATCTTGAAAGTTTCAGACTCTCCTATGCCTTTTTGTAGACTTTGTTGCCATGCCTTCACGATAACTTCAATGGAAGAGAAATGGCAAGATAAACAAAGAATTAGCCATTTTGTAGCAAGGAAAAGTTGAGCCATGTAGTAGTCAGTCTTGGCTGTGGAATGACAGCAACAATGGGAAACATCATGGTGGAAAATAAACAGCAAGCCCATCACATTTGCTGCAGTTAAGGCATATAGGCCACTCACAAAAGAGAAAAACTGTGGATTTAAAAATACTGTTCTTAAAATTTTGCTTCTTATTCATTGATATTTTATAAATCTTAATGCACACAATTAAAACTTGAGAAAATGCCTTTCTAGAAATTTCTAAGTCCTTCAACATGAATGTATGGTCAACTTCCTCTGGAAGCTCAGCATAGAATCGCACTGCAAGACCTAGAGATTCCTAGAAAGAACATTTTAATTTCAGTTGAATTTCAAATCAGTGAAGAATCAAATCTGCAAAAGTCAAAACCACAAGTGTAGGCTGTACTGTTTATTGATGCACCAGCTCTAAAGGATATGTGACAGAATAATATTATTTTTTAAAAAAATCTGATATATGGAATCATATTACTACTGAGCTGCTCAACTTGCTGACCAAAAGGTTGGCGGTTTGAATCCAGGGAGCAGTGTGAGCTCCAGCTTCTGCCAACCGAACAGTTCAAAAATGTGAGTACATCAATAAGTACTGGTTTGGCAGGAAGGTAACGGCACTCCATGCAGTCATGCTGGCTACATAACCTTGGAGGTGTCTACAGACAACGCTGGTCCTTCAGCTTAGAAATGGAGATGAGCACCAACCCCCAAAGTTGAACACAACTAAATTTAATGTCAAGGAGAAACATTTCCCTTTATTACACCCAACATAGGAGAAGCACCTTTCCATTAAGATAATCTCCATTTTAGTGAACCAGAATAAGTTAATAGCAGTATTCTCTGTGGAATATATTTCAGAGCTAGCTTTCTTCTGGAAGGACCAATCTTCAAATTCCCACCCAACTACCAAGTTTACTGGTTGATGCTGAGTCAATTGTTCTCTCAGCCAATCTACCCTGAGGGCTATTTTGATCATATCAAGAAGAAAAATGTGTATGTTTTCCTTGGACTTCTTGGAGAAAGAGTAATAGCTTTTTAGGGTAATAATGATATTTTAATTGGGATACAATGGGAATATTTGGCTGACTTATACATTACTAATTTTTTAAAAAAAACCAAGCATCTAGTTGCTTTTAGGCAAGTTTAAGACTATTTTTGTGCAAGTCCGGGAGTTGTATAAAAAGTCTCAAAGTATATCTTGTAGATTTTTTTTAATAAAAAGAAGTATCACTTTTTTGACAGGAGAGAAGAAAGCAGGATTTGGGATGAAATGGACAGCAACTGTTTGGCCTGCTTCCTGAAAGAATTTCCCATCCAGAAAGAAGAGATTGAGAAGTCCATCCAATGCCTTCGGGAAATGGCAGACAGCATTGACAAGACCCACAAGGATTGCACCATCGCCAGCATTGCTGCCAATTCTACAAGTGCCTCTTCTGGCATTTTGAGCATCTTGGGACTGACCTTGGCTCCCATCACAGCTGGCGGGAGCTTAATCCTGACTGCTGCTGGGATTGGCTTAGGGGCCCTGGCAACAGTCACTGGCCTGTCCACTACTGCTTATGAAAGTGTTAATAATTCAAAGGAAATAAAAAGAGCAGAAGAACTTGTGGCCAAATGCCACGAAGCCCTACAAAATGTCATGCATCCCCATGGAACTGATTTCAGCTCTGACTTCCCAGTGAATAATGGAGCGGTTGGGGAAAACATCAAGCATCTTGTTTCCAATGTTGCCAGTCAAGTTCCCAAAATGTACAGGGCTGCAAAGGGAATACGAACCAACGTTAAGGCCCTGAAGATTGTTCGAACCAATCCTGCCTTGAAGGCTTTGGCCAAGCGAGCAGCGGCTGCAGGAAGAACATCCAAGGGGACCATCAGGGGGGTCAGACATGTGCAGAAGACATTTGCAGGAACCTCTCTTGCAATGAGCAAAGGGGCCAGAATGCTGGGTGCTGCCTCAGCTGGGGTGTTTCTCCTATTTGATGCCTACAGCATTGCCCAAGATGCTAAGCATCTAACAGAGGGAGCCAAGGCGGAAACAGCATCAGAGATCAGAGAAAAAGCCAAAGAAATAGAAGAGGATTTGCATAATCTCAACACACTCTATGAGGAACTGAAAGAAATAGTTGAGTAAAAGAGGCCACTGAGCCAGACAAACTTTGTCTAGGATGTGTTCCCTTTCGTTCCTCATATATTTTGTTTTTGTTGTGTGCCTTCGAGTTGTTTCCAACTTATGATGAACCTAATGTGAAACTATTACAAGGTGTTCTGAGGCTGAAAGTGACTCCTTGGTCAATCAGGGAATTGAACTCTGATCTCCAAAGTTGTAGTCCAACATCCCATGACAATATTATGCTGGTTCTTTCATCACCCATATGTATATCCATATATATCTCATCTCTACATATTCCCCAGTATGCCCAGCATATTTGTCCTGATTAATCCTTTGCCATCCCACTTTATCAGCTGCTTTTTAAAACAACCTGATTTATGTGTCATCTCCCATGTTGCTCCTTTATCATCCACTTATGTCCACTAGTGCAAACTGAGTTCAAAGTGCATAAATATTTTGCATGTAATTAACTCAGTGGAGACAGCACAGGAAGGGGGAGTGAAAGCTTGCTTTTGCAGTGGACCTCCCAAAAAGCAAACTGTTTCCCAATCCAATCTTTTTAATATCACCAAAAATATTTCTCTTGAGTGTTATGGATGAAGAACTGGATAATCAACATGGATAACTTCTTGGATACATGACAATAATTATCATCATCACCATCATCATTATCGTTATTTATATCCTGCCATCATCTCCCTGAAGAAACTCGGGGTGGCTTACAAGGCACCCCAGGGTGTACATATAACATACAACAGGTTAAAATGGTACAAAACTATAAAACAAATCACATAAAATTATAACAATAACTCCCACCAACGCATGTAGCATAAAATCAAAATAATACAATTTTAAAACAACAGTAGATAGAACTAACTGCTGTCAATTTACAAGGTGACAAGTGTCAGCTTCATATGGACCCATTCAGCCTACTCAAGGTCAAAGGCCTGTCTGAACACCCATGTTTTCAGGTTGGAACAGAAGGATTGAAAATTGGGGGCTAATCTAATCTCTTTTGGGAGGAGATTCCAGAGCTGAGGGGCCACCACAGAGGCCCTTCTCTCTCGTCCCCACCAACCACACTTGAGACGGTGGTGGGACCGAGAGGCGGGCCTGCCGTGCCGATCTCAGAGCCCGCACAGGTTTGTACAAAGAGATGTGGTCACAAAGATAAGTTGGGCCCGAAGTATATAGGGCTATATATGTAATCACCTGAATCTTGAATTAAGCCTGGAAACTTGTTGGAAGCCATTGGAGCTGCTTCAGCAGGGGCATGATATGTTCCCTGTAGCTAGCTCCAGTTAGTAATCCAGTTAGTAACGAAGAACATAGTTCATTCAAGGGTATGAACTGAAACACCTATTATGCATGAATGGATTGAATCAGGGTTTTATGCCATGTTTCTATGGCCCTTATGTTTTGTGTTATTGTTTTGATATATGTTGTTGCTATGTATACCACACTGACCAATGCAGAAGTGTTATGCATGCTGTAGTGTAGTGTTGTGTATATATGCACAAATATAGGAATGGAATATAGGAATGGAACAATGGACGACGAACCTGGACTACGCTTGGATGATGAGAAGATTGGGTACAGTTGTTTTTCATAATAATTGTGCATTGTAATTGCTTATTGGTAATTTATGGATAATGTGTTAAGTCAATTGTTATATGTTGTATGGAACCACTGCTGTTTCTACTGTTTTTACTGTTTGTGAACCGCTGTGAGTCGCCTTCGGGCTTGAGATACAGCGGTATATAAGCAAAGTAAATAAATAAATAAATAAATAAATAAATAAATAATATGCATATTTAAGAACATAGAGATACAATGTTTTGACTCATTGGTTTTGTTTTGAGAAGCAGAAACTCACCAAAGTTCTTTCTCATGTGAAAGGTGGAGAAATGGGAATGAGATAATGTTTTAATTATTTGATCAAAGGAAAAAAGATTGCAAAAAGTGTAACTTCTATTACATTTTGATAAATGGTAAAATAGGCAGTCTCACTGGGATGGGATTTGGAGGCTCTGTTTACAGTGGATCAATTCATTTCTGAGGGGTGAACTCGGAAGGCAATGCTGGGGGACTCTTGTTTGTCACCTTTGCCTCTGAGGTCCTTTGGAGCTCTGTTTTCTTTCCCATGGTCTTTTATATATACATGAGACTGCTTAAAGAGGTCATCCAGAATTTGGGTGTTTGCTGCTATCAATACATTCCATTATTCTTTTCCACCACAAAATACTGCCTCAATTCCAAACCAGTCATCAGTAATGGACTGGGTGAAGGCTAACAAAGAACTGCAGCCAGAATCTTGGACATGTTACAACAAGTTCAATTGCTGCCAGTTTCTTTTGGGGCACAATTCAAAGCACTGGTTATGCCCTAAAAAGGCCTGTATGAGATCCAGGCTATCAGGCAGAGAAGATTTTCCTATATGAGCCTACCTGGGCCCTGAGATTATCAGAAGAAGCCCATCTCGAGATCCCACCCTGTTACCAGCACAGTTGATGGGGACAAAAACAGGGCCTTCTCAGCAGCTGTCCCTTGGCTCTAGATGTTCCTTACTAGGGAAGTCAGAGGAGAAGAAGCAAGAACTTTATTTTAGGTTTGCGCAAATTTGTATCGGCCAACACTAGGTATCAAAATGAGCAACTCCCACCAAGCAATCTTGGTAGGACTAATTTAATACTCCTATTCTGTACTCACCTGATGTTCCACATGTTATGATTCACTAATTGGTTAATGTTACACCATATCCTATGCACATGCATGTGGTTTTTAACATACATAGTCAGTGTACTTTCTATAAACAGAAAGATACATTTTGGTGTCTATGCTGCATATGACTTTTAAAATCAGACCAAAGTTCTGTTTGACAAAGGGAGCAAGGTCTTTGGTTTTCTGTTAGTTGTATGGCTGAGATATTTATAGCCACTTCCTCTTTTCAGGGAGCACTGAAAATTTCCTGAATAGTGTGCCCATCTTATGTGACTAACCTACAATTCTGGTTTTATTTATTAAACTATTAACACTCTGCCCTGTATGAAAATATCTAAGATCTTTGCCTATCAACACTTTGCCCTGAAATGGTGAAAACATCACCACAGATGGCTGCCTTTTGCTACTCCATCACCTCTCATGCCTCTCCTGAGCATGACACTTCCCCCATCACATGAGGGAAGTGTTGCCAAAGCAGTGCTGAAGTGTGCTGGTTCCATTAGGGCCAGCACATCATGGGAACCTTCCCGTGTTAGGAGGGAAGTGTCCTAGTACACTTTCACTGAGGTTGGGGATGGGGCTTCAACAGGAAGTCCAGCGACTTCATGTGATGAGCAGCATGCCCATCCATGCTGTGCTATACCTTTAGGACCCTAAAAAAGGTAAGTGTGATGAGGTCCGTAGATAAGCTAAGATATGCTCACTTGCATTCTTTTTCTCGCACATCCACACACCTGAATGCTTTATGAGCTTATATCCTGAATGACTGTTCAATTTGGGTACAATTTGGAAAGGAGGCAAGAATTCCTGCCTTCAGACACATGGGACTGCAATATTGGTTCTACTTTCTCTGCACATCCTTTCATCCCTTCCCACTTGCTCCTACTGGACAACGTTCAGAATTTCAAGTCTCATTTCTAGGAAATCAAAACTAAGCAGGATTCAGTTTCTCATCTATTTTCAAGAATTGCCCTCTGCCTGTTATTTGGGTTTTACTGTGGCTCCTGATTGGAAGTAATAAACCTAGCTAAGATATCATCTGAAGCACCTTATAATTCAGTGAAATAAATGAGGTAATAAAAACCTTATAAGGAAAAGCTTGAAGTTAGAGAAAGTGAGAAAGGTAAGAGTCCAATAGGGCTTAAAAAACATGAGCTTGCCAATTCATTAACTAAATTCCAAAGGTTAAAAAAATATACTAATTTGAATTATAACCCCCAGAATTCTAGCTGTAGTTTCTGAATACATGTTATGTTGAAATGTTGAAAACAAGTATGAAAAAGTAGAAGAAAAGTAAATAAAGGTAAAACATTATCAATGTAATTAAAACTGAGTCGCTGCTCTGGCACAATTCAAAATGCTGTTATGACCAGTTTATTTAAGAGCACAATTCATAGTCCAAATTATTAATCTTTGTATGACTCAGATCTGGGCTATCAGCCAGACTGGATTTTCCCGTATAAGCCTGCCTAGACCTTGAAGTCGCCAAGAGAGCCCTTTCTCTCAGACCCACCTCTGCCACAAGCACAGTGTGGACGTGAGGCAGGGACCTCTTGGCAGCTGCTTCTAACCCAATATATCTGAAAGGCACCAGATTGGGAAGGGCTGTTGTGCACCTAATTCCCTTGGACGAGATGATCAAAACTATCAGGAAAATGCTGAGATTTATATAACATCTAAGAAGAAAGGTAACAGGTGGACTAATTAACATCTGATTAACAGGATGTGGGTTGCTGTTAGCTGGGTAAATATGTACATTTCAAAGGAGACGACGTTGCACAGACATTATACTCTGAATGGAAACTGCTTAAATGCAATTAGCCCTCTACTAGGGGAAGCACAATGGTGACTTCCTATTTTTACTAGCATATTCTGCCCAATAGAAATGGTTCTAAACCTCATATAATCAGATTGATTCCAGGTATGATTTTAAATTAATCATACTGAAAATGCACATTTTCATTATCTACTGTTTTTCTTAATCATCCTTTAGAAAATACTGCCCCCCCCCACCCCAAAAAAACAAAACCCCTATGTGAGGTGTTACACATGTACACACACACTACCGATCCAATTCAAGCAATTTCTTTGTTGTCCTCTTCTGCTTTCCTCCACCTCCTCCCCCCAAATGTCTGATAAGCCACTGATGTGGTCAAACCCACTCACTTTATGAGCTTAGTTTCACTTTTCTTTTCCATTAATTACATTGAACTTGTCTTTACTGCTTTCCGGTGCCTCACAGAGAGCTCTGCCATTTCAGTTCAATAAACAACCAAGGTAGGTGTGAAACCTACAGCAGAGACTTCATTGTCAGGAGCTCAGTGAATCTGTGAGTCTGAACTTTAAAGGAAAGAGCCAAAATGCTGGTCCTATTCTGGGGGAGACAGATAGCTCCATGACATTTAAACTACTGCAAAACAGATGTACCATCCCACCCTACCACAGAAAAGGAAACTTCTGGTCTGCTAATAAACAAGTAAGTGAATTGTCCTAATGCTGTGCAACTATATATACTTTTGAAAATTGTGATTAAAAAGTATTGAGGTCTTCAAGCATCTTCAAGAGATGAGTATTAGCTTAGCCACAAAAATCTCAAATTATTTTGCTTACTCAAACCCCAGCAATGCAGGAATACACAACCTCCCAAGAGATGATCATCCAGTCTCTGCTTAAAACCCTCCAGAGATGAAGAGTCCACCACACTCCAAGGTCGCATATTCCACTGTGAACAGGGTTATTGTCAAGAGGTTTTTCCTAATGTTTAAGTGGAATCTCTTCTCCTGTAGCTTGAATTTGTTGCTCTATTCCGTAGTCTCTAGAGCAGGAGAAAGCAAGCTTGCTTCCTCCTCAATATGACATTATTTCAAATATTTAAATTAGACTGTTTTGGTTGCCCTGAACATTAGGAAGAACTTTCTGACTGTGAGAGCTGTTCAGCAGTGGAACTAGTGTGTCCGAAGTGTGGTGGAGGCTTCTTCTATGGAGGCTTTTCAACAGAGGCTGGATGACCATCTGTTGGGGTGCTTTGAACATGATTTTCCTGCTTCTTGGCAGGGGGTTGGACTGGATGGCCCATGAGGTCTCTTCCAACTCTGTGATTCTATGGACTTTCTAGCTTCTCAATATCCTTGAATTGTGGTGCCCAGAACTGATGAGATCTGACCAAAGGAGAATAGAGCAGTACTATTACTTCCCACAATCTAGATGAGTAGTTCTCAACCTGTGGGTCCCCAGATGTTTTGGATTTCAACTCCCAGAAATCCTAACAGCTGGTAAACTGGCTGGGATTTCTGGGGGTTGTAGGCCAAAACACCTGGGGACCCACAGGTTGAGAACCACTGATCTAGACGCTCTACTTTCCCAAGGCCATATAGTGGTCAGACAGGGATTTGAGCCCTAGCCTCCTAGAATTCTAGTTCAGCACTGAAACCACCATGCCATACTGGCAGAGGCGGCCCTAGGTAATTTTCAACGGTAAGCAAACAGTATTTTGGTGCCCCCGCCCCAACCAATCATTGATATATATTTTCTGTTTGTCGTGGGAGTTCTGTGTGCCATATTTGGTTCAATTCCATCATTGGTGGAGTTCGGAATGCTCTTTGATTGTAGGTGAACTATACATCCCAGTAACTACACTTGCCGCACTTGCTCCCTTGCTCCCTTGCCTGGCCCGCTTTGGGTCTGGAGGCGTGCCTGAAGACCCCGGCCTGTGCACCAAAAGTCACCTCTTCTCCTGACTTTCTCCTCAGCCATTGGGACCAAGAGAGAGAGAGAGAATGATTGAGGCTGGCTCTGCTTGCGCACCCAGTGGCCGGGTGGAGCAGGAATGAGAGGGGCGAGGCGAGGCTCAAGGGCCCGGCCCCTTTGGGAAGAGGATCGCCCGGCAGCGAGGCAAGAAAGCCGAGGCTCCCCCTGGACTGCTGGGGCTGTTGTGAGCTGAGGGGGCACTCCTCAAGTGGCGGTCGAGGGGCATTTACAAAGGCGCCTCTGCGCCCCTGGCAAAAAAAGTGTTCTGCGACCGCTTACTTCGCGTAATGGACGAGCCGCCCCTGCATACTGGCCATCTTAATGCTTAAATTATGAGTGGCAAATAAAGATTTAGCTCTTAGTACACAAGGCTTTTGTTTGTGGAATAGGCAAGAGATATGATTGTATTCTTTTCCTCAGTCATCAAAAGGTACAACAGTCTTGGCTTTCATCCTTGTATTTTTGTTTCCCTTTCAGACTTGAAATAAGCTCAGGTTGAGAAGAAAGAGCCAACAGATATTTGCTAAAATGACTTCCAAAGAACACAAAGTTTGTGAAGGTTGGTCTCCTTGGGAAAGGGGCAATAGCTTGGTGGTGGGACACCACTTTTACAAACCCAAGAGAAAACTGAATATGTACAGTTCTGTGGTCTCATGTTGTCTCTTTTAATTAGCATTGTGAGCAATGAGGCTGATTTACTCTGGATTCGAACTGGGCTGATCACATCACGTTTGGATTCAACCTGGATCAGTGTGAATTTGTCCAATTTGTTTCAGAATTTGATATTTGTCTGAGTAAATTTCACAGACCTAATTGACAACCTACATTCTTTGAAGGTTCTTTGGGTGGCTAGAAGGTTATCTCTCAAGAACATTATGAGGGCTGGACTGAGTGCCTGGAGCAAGACTGAGAACAGTCTTAAACCAAGTACTCTTCAAGGTCCATTCATTTGTTTCATATTATCTACATGGGTCTCCAGCCCCTACCATTTAAAAAAATGTGTTGAGACCAAGCCTGTCCAAGAGGCATGTCCACTGGGCAAGCAACCCCGGATCCAATCTCATATGTTTGGCATTCTCCGGGTATTCAAATAATGATGGAAATACTTCTGTTCAGGTTCAGCTCACTTCTCTCACTTAGTTTGGTGTGGCACCAAAACTCTTTGGCAGAGAAGGCTGAAGAGCTTGTAAAATTACAACTCCCATGATACTATAGCATTGAATTGGAGCAATTAAAGTGGTATTAAAAAGTATTAATTCACAGTGTTGATGTACCCAATGAAACCTGAATCATAGCTCTCCAATATTTGCAAATTATCACAGGGTATTGAAGATTCCCCTGCATAATTAGAGGGCTTTTTTGTCTTCTTTGAACTTATTTAGAAGAACTGGAGTATGATGACGTCTTGGGAGTCTCAAAGGATCTGCTGTATGAATTCAGTGATGACTGGTGGCGAAGCCTTCTGAATGAAGATGGAGCTTATTTGATGGAAATGCCACAGGACATGAATCTAGAGAGGTAACCAAGACCCATATCTGTCCAAAGGGAATCCACTTGGCCTCCTTCAATGTTGCCCACAATTGCCCAAGCATTTAGCAGGCTTAACAATACAAAGAGATAATTCCATGACTACTTCCAACTGTAGAGTGACAAGTAATACTACAATCATTTGTTCAGTGGCATACAAACAAAGCAATAAAGATTTACAGTTTCAAAGCATATACACCAGAAAAATGGGTGGAATGGGATCTAAGACTTCTCAATTCCTCAATCCAAATGGCTTGTTGCTTTTAGAAGTTTGAAAAAAATCTGGTTTGACACTGCAAGAATGGGAGATGCCTGCTGTATCTTTAATTGGTGTGCATACATGTGTAGTCGCCTGCCAATTTATCCTAAGTCTTTGAATTGCATAGGGTTTTCTTACATAAGGAATGCTCAAGGGGCACCTACACTGTAGAATTAATGCAATTAGGCACCACTTTAAATGTGATAGAATTGTGAGAGTTGTAGTTTTACAAAGTTCTTCGCCTTCTCTGCCAGAGTTCTGGTGCCTTCTTTGTTGGTTATTCGTTTAGTCACTTCTGACTCTTCATGACCTCATGGACCAGCCCACGCCAGAGCTCCCTGTCAGCCATCACTACCGCCAGCTCTTTCAAGGTCAAGCCAGTCATTTCAAGGATACCACCCATCCATCTTTCAATTGGTCACCCTCTCTTCCTTTTTCCTTCCATTTTCCCAAGCATCATTATCTTCTCCAAGCTTTCGTGTCTTCTCATTATGTGGCCAAAGTACTTCATCTTTGCCTCTAACATCCTTCTCTCTAGTGAACAGTCATGTCAGGATGTGTCCATTCGAGCTTGAGTCAACAAAGCTGCCCGTCCACTCCATGACAGTTTGGGAGTGAATTACTGGAGGCCGATAAGGGCCATCTGGACAGAGGGGGAGAGAAACCTGGGAGATGCTGCATGTTCTGTGGGAATGGAATATAACCGTTAGGATAGATAAGAAAGGGGTGCTTTGGTGAGATCGAATAATAAATATGTGTCCAAGGAACCTTCCTTGTGAGCTTGTTTTTATTCTAAAATCTGCCAAGAGCTGACAAGTCGGGCTTTATTTCCTGGACTATGGACTGGTTTGATCTTCTTGCGGTCCAAGGCACTCTCAGAATTTTCCTCCAGCACCACAGTTCAAAAGTGTATTTTCTTCCTTCACTCAGCCTTCCTTATGGTCCAGCTCTCTCATCCATAGGTTACTATGGGGAATACCATTGCTTTAACTTTGTGGATCTTCGTTGCCAGTGTGATGTCTCTACTCCTCACTGTTTTATCCAGATTGGTCATTGCTCTCCTCCCAAGAAGTAAACGTCTTCTGATTTCCTGGCTGCAGTCTGTGTCTGCAGTAATCTTTGCACCTAGAAATACAAAGACTTTCACTGCATCCACGTTTTCTCCCTCTATTTTCCTTATTCTTTTTATTCTTTAAATTATTCTTTTATTTTTTTTTTAATTTTTATTCTTTATTCATGTTTTCTCCCTTTGGTGCCTTACCAAACTACAATCCAATGATTCCATATCATTGAGCCATGGCAGATAAAATGATGTGAGACTGTATTACTTCTGCAATGTAGAGGCACCCTTATTTCATGAGTAGGAGCAGCTAAAAAGTGCTTTTCATGCTTGGTACCCAAGCTCTTTGCTGGAACATGAAACAATAATGAGAAGAGTGACTTGTGCATGTGCATAGTTATTTCCATCATTGCTTGAATAACCAGAGAATGCCATTCTTTCTTTTTTTAAAAAAAATAATGTATCACTTTGTTTTTTGACAGAAATGAAGAAAATGGATTTGGGGATGAAATGGACGATATCCATTTGGTCCACTTTCTTGAAGAATTTCCTACCCAGAAAAAAAAGATTGAAAAGTTCATCCAATGTCTTCAAGAAATTGCAGACAGCATTGACAAGACCCACAAGGACTGCACCATCGCCACCATTGCTGCCAACTCTGGAGGTGCCACTGCCAGCATCTTAAGCATTCTGGGATTGACTTTGGCCCCTGTCACAGCTGGTGGGAGCTTAATCCTGTCTGCTGCTGGAATGGGTTTAGGGGCCATGGCAGGAATCACTGGTTTGTCTACTGCTGTAAGTGAAAATGTTGTTAATTCCAAGGAATTGAAAAGAGCAGAGGACCTAATAACCAAATGCCAAAAAAGCCTAAGAAACATATATCCCCATAGAACTTATTTCCAGTCTGAATGTCCAGTGAATAATGGAAATACAAAGAAAATCATTAAACAGCTTGTTTCCAGCGCTGCCAGTCAGTTTCCAAAAATCTATGAGGCTACAAAGGGAATCCAAAGAAATGTCAAGGTCCTCAAGATTGTTAAAGCTAATCCTGCCATGAAGGCTTTGGCCAAGCGAGCAGCAGCTACAGGAAGCACATCCAGGAAGACAATCAGTGGTATAAGAAAGGCCTTTGCAGGAACCCCTCTTGCAATGACCAAAGGAGTCCGAATACTGGGTGCTGCCTCACTGGGGCTGTTTCTCCTGTTTGATGTATACAACATTGCCCAAGACGCCAAACACATAACAGAGGGAGCCAAGGCAAAAACAGCAGAAGAGATCAGAGAGAAGACCAAGGAACTGGAAGAGGAGCTGTACAATCTCAACAAGCTCTATGAAGAACTGAAAGAAGTATTTTGAGTTAAAAAAAAGTCAATGAGCCAGACAACCTGTCTTTATGATGTATTCCTTTTTGTTGTCATTCATTTTATTGTTGTGTGCCTTCAAGTTGTTTCCAACTTATGGTGACACCCTAAGGTGAAACTATCACAGGGTTTTTGGGGCTGAAAGGGTGGGGGGTAGATTTGGACCTTGGTCTCCAGAGTCATAGTCCAATACTCAAATTACTCTACCATATACCCATATAACATCAAATAATAGTCACCGCCATATAATTATGACACACCCAATATTGTATTTTTGTTTTCTTCACATAATAGTCACACACCCTTTTAGAACTGATTCCCTCTTCCTTCCTACTAAGAACTCATTGGAGACAGTGTGGAATTGGAATTTTGCCTTTGCATTGTACTCAGGGAAAAGCAAAACACTTTCCCAAAAAAAACGTTACCAGTAAATTTTCTAATGTCACTAGAAATGTTTCTGTTGGGTATTATGGATGAAGAATTGGATAGTAAATGTAAATCACTTTTTTGATACATGACAATAACAAGAATATTGTTTGCTCAGGGAGATGGACTAAAGCACCAATTATGCAACAATGAATTGCTAAGGTCGCTGAGTTAGTCTAACTAACAAAAGCTTTTATATGATAAGCCAGTTGATCATTTTCTAAATAATTGGAAAACACTGGCGAGCTTTTTGAGCTATAATAAATCTAATGATGTAATTATATATTGTTGCACTTATTATTAATTAATATGATTATTTAGTTGGATCTATATTTTTTATTTTAGTTTTCTTTTTTAAGAGTTAGGATTGCGAGATGGTGGCATTGCTGTGTTTTAGGCAATTATTGTTTTAGTATTGTGTTTTGTTTTAGTTATATGTTCTCTTTCTTCTTTTTTCTCTCTTCCTTTTCCTGCTTTTCCTTTTAATGCATATTATTTTGATTGTGTTAAAGCTGATAAATAATTCTGTTTTTTTAAAAAAGAAGGGGAAACAACCACCTCAGTATCACTTGTATATTCTTGCTCATTCATAATAAATACTTACTGTGTGTATGACATTTTAATGATCCAATAAAGTTGACCAAATATACCTATGATATTTTGATGTGTTGGAAAACCCTAAATTTTGATTCTATGCATGGATCATATGGTAATGTGTTTAAGATTTGGCTGTTGTACACTTTCCATATAAGCTCTGGAGAAATGCAGTTGATTTTTTTTCTGAACTTGTTTACATTCCATGCAATCACAACAGCATAATGTGACTGAGACCCAGGGGTGAAACATAACCTCACCAGTGTAGGTGGCAACATAGGTAGTAATTGAGCAATAGGACTAAAATAGCCATAATGTCAAAAGGGGATGTAAAATTGAAAGTCATGTCTGTCCAGAAAGAAAGCTGCCTTATGAGATCTTGGGTTGCTCAGGAGCCAGCAAAGGAGCCTTCTCAACCAAGTTGAATTTCTCTGTCATCTCTGGGCCCTTCCACACAGCCATACAATACTGAATATCAAGGCAGAAAATGCCACAATATCTGCTTTGAAGTGAGTTATCTGAGTCCACACTGCCATATAATCAAGTTCAAAGCAGAAAATGTGGGATTTTGTTCAGTTGTGTAGAAGAGCCCTCCCTGCTATCACAAAACATTGCTCTAAGGAAGCAATGCCTTACATTGGCATAATGAAGTTGGTTTACATAGCTCCAGAACCTGTTTACATAAACCACCAAGAGAATTCGAGCCAGAGCCATACCATGGATGATCCAAATGCTATTTGCCATATTGAATATTACATAATAAGTGAATTCCAATATCTTCTTTTGCATCTATTGAAAATAATAACCCCAGAACCTGTGGCAAATAGGCTAAGAAACCTCCAAACTGTTTTAATTTATTGTTTATAAAGGTTTTAACTGTTTAATTGTATTTATTACTCTTAATTGTATTGTGTCAGCATCTAATGGTTGCCTGTTGTAAGCAGTCCTGGTTGAGAAGGATGGGATATAAATGCTTAAAATAAATAAATAAATAAATGAAATGATAGATTTCAGGTATGAAATTAAACTCGTTGAAAATGCACACTTAGCTCCTTGACATCCATTTCCATGATCCACTTTTTCACATACCCATGCTTCAGAATAATACACACACAGAGAGAGAGAGAGAGAGAGAGAGAGAGATACACACACCAAGTGTGTGTAGTTCCTCTCTAGGTCCCCCAATGCAATTTCATGATATGCTTCTGACCCAAGTATAGTCAAAATATTCAATATTATCCACAGTTTCAGGTAGCCATAGGATGATCTTGGAATGTTTTTGCTGTGGATCCTGGGGTCATACTGAAATTACAAAGGAAGGAAGCAGAAAAGAATAAGGCAGAAGGGAAAGAAAGCAAAACAAAGGTGAAGAAAGAATATGCAGAAGATATGGCTGAGGTATTAAAACTAATGGTTCTTATATTAATACTAAACGGTGGCGTAGCTGTAGATATTGCCAAGGTGCATCTCCAGTGTATCTAGTAATTGGTTTTCTTTTTTCATGTCAGGAGTGACTTGAGAAACTGCAAGTCATTTCTGGTGTGAGAGAATTGGCCGTCTGCAAGGACGTTACCCAGGGGACGCCCAGATGTTTTGATGTTTTACTATCCTTGTGGGAGGCTTCTCTCATGTCCCCGCATTGGGAGCTGGAGCTGACAGAGGGAGCTCATCCACGCTCACCCCGGATTGGAACCTGCGACCTGTTGGTCTTCAGTCCTGCCGACACAGGGGTTTAACCCACTGTGCCACCAGGGGCTCCTAGTAATTGGTAAGTAGTGTATATTTATAAAGAAATATATGGGGTTACCATCATTTGGCAGGTGACTTGACTTACATACACACACACACTACCTGTTGTGGTTCAGCAACAGCATGATGGGTCTGAGAGTGCAAGTGAGCATGATGGGAATGGGAATACAGATGCAGGGGGATGTCAGATTTCTCAGCCACAGTCTGTAGCTAGAGAGAAACGCTTGTTCTCACAGCCAAAGAATGTGGCTGATAAGACGCTCGGTGAAGGTCGGAGCAAGCTCCAGGTGTTAAGAAGAAGCGGGAGGATTGCGGCCAAATCTTGAGGCCATCTGCTGGTGGGAAAATTGCTTGTTAGTAGATTGTTTTAGTTTCATGTTTTGATGTTTCACCTATAAGTATGCTGCTGGAAAGCTGGTTCAGTGTCTGTTCAACTTTGCTAGAATGGATCACTGTACCTACGGCCCCGGGCTTGGGCCTGAGGGGATTGCCTGCTTCCTGTAACTTCATGCTAATGCCTGGAATGTATCCTGCTCCTTTGCCTCAAGTTCCTGCTTTGATTTAAGAAATCCTATTGAACCTATATTTTGTACTTTACAACTTTTACTGCTTTTACCTGGATTTGTTTGAAACCTCAATAAACTATTTTCTTCTCAAGCTTGGCTGGTTTGTCAGAGAGCAAGGTGAAGCTAATCTGAGACGCAACACTACCAATCCAATTCAGGCAATTTCTGTGTTGCCACTGACATGATGGTAATGGGATGCTTGCTGCACTATCAAATTCAGCATCTTTATAAGCTTAGTTTCTTATCCAATCATTAAGTTGAACTTGTTTTTGCTGCACTCCAATGTCTCCCAGAGGACTCAGCCATTTCAGTTCAGCAGTGAAGTTGAAAAGGTAGGTCTGAAAAGTACAGCGGAGCCTGGGGTCAGAATTTTAAGGGAACTACCCAAAATGCTGGTCACAGATAACTCCTTGACATCTACACTACTGCAAAACAGATGTAACACTCCACTCTGCCAATGAAAAAGAAACTTCTGGTTTCCTATTAAACAGATAAGAGAATTGCTCCAATGCTGTGAAACCATGTGTGCTTTCGAAAATGGTGACAAAAAGAGAATGGGGGTTTTTCAGCTTTTTCGGGGGATGGATTTTACTTTAGCCACAAAAATTTTATGATGTATTTTTTACTGAAATTTGTTAAATCATAATATTAACTCGATGTAATTACTAGGAAGGATTTTTAAGAATTGCAACTTGAGATCATAGGACCATGACAGAAAGGTATACAAATAGTTTAGGAGGAATTCTCAGATAGTATGTTATTTTTATTTTCTTGCATACCACTTGGACACCCAATAAAGTAGATGAGAGGAAAAGAGACAGCCTTTTTCACTCATGAATATAAAGCTGTTTTGTAAATAAGCTCAGAAACATTTGTTATTAGGAGGGAGGGAAACCTATTTCTAGCTCATGTAGGGTTCCACAGAATGTGCACAGAGTATCATCCCTCCTCTATCAGCCTGGACATAGTTTAAAATTGTCTATGGCAGTGTTTCTCAACCTGGGGGTCAGAACCCCTGAGGGGGTCACAAGGAAGCATCAGAGGGGTCGCCAAAGACCATCAGAAAACACAGTATTTTCTGTTGGTCAGAAACTGCACACTAACCGGGATTGTGGCACAGCTGGCTGAGTGTCAGCTGCATTAAGATCACTGACCAAAAGGTCATGAGTTTGAAGCCAGCTCGGGTTGGAGTGGTTGGAGTGGGTTTCCAACCAATTGTGTGTAGCCTGTTGTCGACCTTTGCAACCCGAAAGATAATTGCATTTGTCAAGTAGGAAAATAAGGTACCACCTTTAAAAAAAAGTGTGGGGAGGCTAAATTAACTGATTTATGAGGCCATAAAGAAGACTCCAGCAAAGCATTCCAGCGGGGAAGCATGCGGGAATGCAGAGGTGCTTCATCAGTGTCGCAGATGGACGATGAAAGCGACAGCTCCCCTGGCGGCCAGAAAAAGTTAACTAGCCTCTGTGTATGTCTGTATATGTTTGTATGTCAAAAAAATTGGCATTGAATGTTTACCATATATGTGTACACTGTAATCCGCCCTGAGTCCCCTGTGGGGTGAGAAGAGCGGAATATAAAAGCTGTAAATAAATAAATAAATAAATAAATAACCAGAGTGGGTTCTGTGTGGGAAGTTTGTCCCAATTCTATTATTGGTGAGGGTTCAGAATGCTCTTTGATTGTAGGTGAACTATATATCCCAGCAACTAAAACTCCCAAATGTCAAGGTCTATTTTCTCCAAACTCCACCAGTTTTCACATATTGAGTATTCGTGCCAAGTTTGGTCCAGATCCGTCATTGTTTGACTCCACAGTGCTCTTTGGGTGTAGGTGAACTACAACTCCAAATCTCAAGGTCAATGCCCACCAAACCCTTCCAGTATTTTCTGTTGGTCATGGAAGTTCTGTGTGCCAAGTTTGGTTTAATTCAGTTGGTGGTGGAGTTTAGAATGCTCTTTGATTGTAGGTAAATTATAAATCCCAGCAACTATATCTCCCAAATGACAAAATCAACCCCCAAAGGTCTATTTTCCCCAACCCCACCAGCATTCAGATTTGAACATATTGGATATTTGTGCCAAATTTGGTTCAGTGAATGAAAATACATCCTTGCATATCAGATATTTACATTATGATTCATAGTAGCAAAATTATAGCTATGAAGTTGCAATGAAAATAATGTTATGGTTGAGGGTCCCCAAAACATGAAGAACTGTAATAAGGGATCTTAGAAAAGTTGAGAAACACTGATCTAAACTAAACAGATTAACTTTCAGGCCATGTGGTCTGGGAAATTTTGAATCTTACAGTACAGAAGTTTGAAAAATTGCATTTTTAAACTCTTCCCTGGGGAAGTAGCAGCTGTGGCCAGGAATGTCCTTGGGCTTCAGCAACAGCAGAATCGTGTCTCTGATGAATCCAATCTGGAAGCAGTTATACATGACTTGGTCACATGTAAATTAGATTATTTCAATGGACTGTGTGAGCCAGCTCAAGAAAACTCAGATTGCTAGTCTCTAGAGTCTTCTTTTCAGTGCCTATTGCTCCTGTTTTCTTTAATCTGCACTGTCTTCCAGATCATTTTTTGTGCATAATTCAAAATGATGACCATTATCTATGAAGTCCTGAAAGGCTTTAGATTGGAGTAATTGAAAGATCACTTCCTTCTGTACATGTCTTCCTGCCCAAAGTATTTGTGTGTCATCAGATGCCTTCCTCTGTGGTGTGATTTTTCATATAAGGATAAGAAAATATTTGTAAGGACCACACAAACTATGCTCTTCTAAAGTTTCCTTCCCAGGCCAGGTTTTGTTATCCTGCTTCCTTGAAATTTTCAGGCAAGCTTCAAAACTGTTAAATGTCTCCAAGCATTTGATTGCATTTTTGCCTATGTCTTTACTGTGCTTTGACTATTTCTTTTACAAAGAAACGCACAGATTGTAAACGTTTCCTTGAAGACTTTGTTGGAGATTAAACGATGAGATTTCTGCCTTTGGGCAAAAGGGCGTGTGATATTTGTTCTGCTTTCCGTGAACCTCCCTTTATTACTCCTCACTTGCTCTTATTGGACAATCTTCTTACAGCATTCAAGTTCTGTTTTGTGAGGAATCGAAACTCAACAGGAGTATCAGTTTTGTATTATTCCATCCAGGTGAGTTGGAACTTCACTGTGTTTCCAGATACAAGGTTCCTGATAGGAAGTAAGAAGCCAGAGTCCATCCAGGATATTGTCCAACGAGCCTTGAAATTGGATACCCCAATTTAATTTCTAGACCAGATGGTAAGTGGTACCTTTAAGTGGATGAAATAAGGTTATTTCCTGATGAAAATTGTTTGATGTTAAAGAAAGTGAGAAAGGTAAGAGTCCAATAGGACATTTTTAAGTGACCTTTCAAACTCATTACGTACCAGAGTTTTAAAATGGAACTAATTTGAATTACAACTGTCAGAAGTCTAATCATAATGTTTCTGGGTATAGTTTATCCTGGACATGGAAAAAACAAACATAAGAGAAGGAAGGGGTATCCAGATAAAAATTATCAATATACTGTATATACTTGAGTATAAGCCTAGTTTTTCAGCCCCCTTTTTAGGCTGAAAAAGCTCCCCGTGGCTTATATTTGAGTCAAGGGTATTTATTATTTTACTCTCTTATTAGTATTATTTTATTACATTTATTATTTTGCTCTATTCATCATTGTTTTCATTACATTTATTATCTTACTCTTATCATTATTGGATTTATTATTTTACTCTATTTATTATTATTATTAGATTTATTATTTTACTCTATTTATTATTATTATTATTATTACATTTACATTATTTTACTACATTTATTGCTCTTTTTATTAGATTTATTATTTTACTATATTTTTTATTATTATTGTTACATTTATTATTTTACTTTATTATTATTGGAAAGATACGTAAGTACATTTACATTGAAGGAGGTTAAAATAATGGTTTAATCAGAGTTGGACAGTCTTATCTTAAATTACAGTTTTATGTAAATATTCAAAAACATTTAACTTACCTCAATTAATCTAATTTTATTGGCATCTATTTTTATTTTGAAATGTACCAGTAGCTGCTGCATTTTTCCCCCCTCAGCTTATACTCAATGCGTTTTTCCCAGTTTTTTGTAGCAAAATTATTTGCCTCGGCTTATATTTGGGTCGGCTTATACTCAAGTATATACGGGAACTAAAACTGAGTGGCTGCTGTGCCTGTGGATTCTGAGAATTCCAGTCTAGACTAACTTTTCTTATTGCTTCCAAATATCTCACAAACAGATGGAAGTTGGTCTACATCATGTGATGGGAGCCGGAAGGCTCCATGTCCAAGCGTCCTAAGATGGACAATTTTGCCCATCTGATGAAGTCCTTAAATGCTAATTGCTAAAATTCTAGTTCTAAATTATATGAAGCAGCACTTCACCTAACACCCCCTTTTCTGATCTCTTGCATGATAGCAAAATTTATGATTACCCAGCCAAGTTGTTTTGATGTCAGTCCAAATCTGTTGTTGTTTTTGTTGTCTGTCATCAAGCCAGCTTCAATTTATGGCAACTATAAATGAGAGGTGGTCCAAAATACATGAAAGACACCAGTTCCCATCTGACTCCGGGAAAGTAAATAGGGGGCTTTGCTACTCAAATGAAAAGAACATGTACTCACCACAAAGCCAGTACTGGCAGTTTTTAGTCCTTAAGCCATTTTTCTTCCACAGTAAGCAATTTCAAAGGATACTCTGGAGTTTGTGGGAAACTTGAGAATATCCTAGGACTTTGTGAACCTCTAGACAACTGGGTCAAGTCTGTTTCAGCCCAATATATTGTCCACATGGACAATACTCCAGACTGGCCATGGAGGTGGCCACATACTCCATGTTCAACCTGCAATAGTGATGGGCAGGGTCTACACAGTCTAGCTGGGCTGAAACTGAAGCTAAGATGGTCACTGTTCCTTACATTCTGCCTTAGCAATATAGATGAGTGTAGGAAAAAAAGGATGATGGTGGCCCATATGGATGGATCCACATAGATTAAAGCCAACTTACTCCATGTTAAGAACCGAAAATCAGACTGAAGTAATGTGCACTGAAAGCTTGAACTAATTACTTTTTTGACAACTTTGAAAAAGATTAATCTTTAGCTGGCTAAAGGTCTTCTGTTTAATTGTTTGCAGGTTGAGCTGATTAGCCTAAATAGTCTCAGATAATATTCATGCCCAGTAAATTATATGACTATTACAGTTTGCGTTTCCTTGTGAGATGTGTGTTTTTCATGATGGAGTTTTTGATCAGCATGTGAGCGCTTTCCAGTATGCATACATAGGTCTGATCCCCCTCTGTTTATAGTATGGAATGTAGGAAATTATTGATTACTTTTGAAGTTATGATTAAATGTGTTTAATTTTTACAAACTGTTTTTTCATTAAAGATGTCAGATTTAGAAAACCATGAGGATGAGTCGAGAGATTCAACATTTCTGCTAGACAGTCTAAACGGTAAAGAACAACAAAGATTGCATGAAGAAGATTCACTTTGCATGAAAATGGTGGAATCTGCAACGAACAGTGAGAGGTAACCCAAAGATATATTTACTGAAAGTAAATTCTCTCTGCCATCCTCACAATAATTTCTAAATATTGGTTATCACTGTACAAAGGTTTAATTACAAATGAATGTATTGTGTGTTTGTGTTTCTCACTTTTTTATCAAATGTTTATATCTACCTATGGCTAAGCAAAGATAATTAAAATATACCTTTACACTAAAGTAGGAGAAAGAGAAAAGAAAGAAAAAATAGAACTAATACAACAAAGAAACTTTGTTGTATTGGTTAGATGATGATAAAAGGGCAAGCATTTCACGGTCTATTTGGAAGCAGTACAGGTGTAGTGTATTCTGATTCTGGCTACCAATAAAGAAATCAATTCCAAAGTGCCCAAAATTGAACTGTAGGGGCTATAGAGGATTTTCCAACATTGTTGGACCCTTTTTGAACCCCTAGGACTCAAAACTAAATTTGCTAATTTTTTCCACTCCCAAACATCTCAAAATGTCCTTGAGGGGCCCGAGAGGGTCCAAAATCATATTTTCTTGCCCACAAAGAGTTTCTGGGGACACACACACACACACACACACAAGAATCATATGTATGTTGGAGAGCTAATGCTCCCCCTCCTAGTCTTCCACAAGGGAAAGATTGTTTCTTCTAGAACACAACAGAAGTATTGCCAGTAGGCAAAGGGGAAATTCACTTTGATAGAGGTACCCTGTCACGATCCCATGACTATTACTAATGCATGGATCGTCCATATTTCCATGAACTATTGCAGAAACTTCAAAACATATATTCCATAATTTGTCATCCTCTCTTATTTTTTCCATACATTTTTTCTTACTGAGAAAAATCTTGTAGTGTAATTTCTTTTTGCTGTATTTCAATCATGCCGAAACTATGTGTAATTCAGAAAAGCTGTTTTGCTTTTGAGTAGTCCTTTTCTTTATGTAATGTTTCATTTTCATGAAACATTACATAATTGGGATTAACTACAGGAACATTCCCTCTAAACATTGGATATATAGCTGTGGTTCTCAAGATAATGGATGTACTTCTGTCATTATGTCCTGTACTGTACTGTTTACATAGACTGGAGGCTGGTTAAGGTGGCAGTCGAACCATCTAGAGTCATTGCTGTCAAACTTGTAGCTCTCCAACTATTTAGGATTTCATTTCCCAAAATTCCTGGCAATAGAGCAAGCTGGCTAAGGCTTATAGGATTTGAAGGCCCAAACATCTGGAGTTTGACACCTGATCTAGACATCTGCTTAAGGAGGTATCCAATATGGAAGCAATTTCTCAATTGGCAGGCAGGACAGCGACATACAGACACAGCTCCTACTCCCAAAACCGCAACAGCTGCCAGAATATTGCCAGAATGGCTTTTAGAACAACTGGGAAACTATCAGTCACACTTAGAATCATAGAGTTGGAAGAGTACATGGGCCATCTAGTCCAACCCTTTGTCATGAAGGAAAAGGATAAAGTAATCCATACAGGTGGCCATCCAGCCTGTTTAAAAGCCTCCAAAGAAGGAGCTTCCACCACACTCCGAGGCAGTGAGTTCCATACTTCTCCCATAACTCAGTGGCATTGCCTCTATGTGCACCTGAGTATTTGGGTTTTGTGCAAAGAGACTACCATAATAAAAATTAACTTAGTTACAGTGTATACTCATCTATAAGTTGACCCCATTTATAAGTCAATGGCAAGATTTTGAGCCTAAACCGTGGATTTTAATATTACCCTAACATTTCTAGAGTCGTACATGCATTTATAGGGTAAGTAGGGCTTGTATTCATTATCACCTACTCAGTTGTGTAATCAGTTAAGTATCTAAGCAGTGTCTCCCTGTCTGACTCCCCCAATACCCATTTATCGGGCAGCAGACATAGAGTGGCAGGGGTCTGTTCCCTTGCAGCAGGGGTGCAGCTGAGTTACATTCCCACTTCCTTCTGTGATTTATCTCTGGTGCAACAGCCAGAAGCTGGGTCCCTGTTGTGATTCTCTCTCACCATGGAGATAGCTCATGCGAGAGAATGGCAATGTCAGTCTGCTGCTTCTGGATTGACAGGAGAACAAAGCTCTGCTCCTCACCACAGCTCACCACAGTTACTAAGGATTAGGGGGAATTTCATCATCCTTACTCATTCCTTAACCTAATGAATACACAGCAATTGTGAATGCAAACCAGTCATAGAATCATAGGGTTGGAAAAGACGTCATGGGCCATCCAGTCCAATCCTCTGCCAAGAAGTAGGAAAATCGCATTCAAAGCACCCCTGACAGATGGCCATCCAGCCTCTGTTTAAAAGCCTCCAAAGAAGGAGCCTCCACCACACTCTGGGGCAGAGAGTTCCACTGCTGAACAGCTCTCACAGTCAGGAAGTTCTTCCTCGTGTTCAGGTGGAATCTCCTTTCCTGTAGTTTGAAGCCATTGCTCCACATCTTAGTCTCCAGGGCAGCAGAAAACAAGCCTGTTCCCTCCTCCCTATGACTTCCCCTCACATATTCATACATGGCCATCATGTCTCCTCTCAGCCTTCTCTTCTGCAGGCTAAATATGCCTAGCTCTTTAAACTGCTCCTCATAGGGCTTGTTCTCCAGACCCTTGATCATTTTAGTCACCCTCCTCTGGACACATTCCAGCTTGTCAACATCTCCCTTCAAATGCAGGGAGCCCAGAATTCAACTGCGGTGCCCAGAACTGGACACAGCATTCACAAATCCATAACCCTGTTGCACTTTCATAACTGCCATAATGAATTCCAGCTTAAATAAATAAGTAAACATTAAAGCTAAATGCAAATGTTAAATAAGATCTTGGCAACAGAATGCATGCTTACACAGGGTACATACAGAGAACAAATATACATAAAAATTGCTTCTAAAATCACAACAATTACTGCTCTCATTAAAAGGAGTTGTTTGTCTTTTTCCATAATGGATTTTCTTGGATCAGCAAAAACAAACACAGAAAACCTCGCTAAAAGCACTAAAAATTGGAAGAAAAGATGGTGCTGATGATAACAGCAATAGCTAATCAGAAGTTAGCTCCGCTGAATTCAGGTTCAGTGTACATAAGACTGCAGGCTATGGAAGTTTTCTATCAGAGATGCTCAAGCATCTCTATACATTTGGAATATGCATATTTTACTTATATGCATATCAGAAGAGTTTTGTTTATCCAGGATTGAGAGAATGTCTTTAACCAACATGCATGTTTTTCTTTGTAGCAGAGATGAAGGGAGTGACTCTTTAGAGGAAAATGCCAATGAGATGATTGCCTGTTTTATGAAAGGATTTCCTGCCCAGAAAGAAGAAATTGAGAAATGTATTGGTTGCATTCGGGAAGTGGCAGACAAAATTGACAAAATCCACAAGGACTGCACAATTGCCACCATCACTGCTAGCTCCGCAGGGGCCACCTCTGGCATCCTGACCATTGTGGGCCTGGCCTTGGCCCCGGTCACTGCAGGCGTAAGTTTAATCCTGACAGGTACTGGCCTCGGACTGGGGGTAGCAGCAGCAACTACGGGCATCTCTGCTAATGTATGTGAACGTGTCATGAATTCAAAGGAAAGGGAAAAAGCAAAAGACCTCATGACGAAATGTGAGGAAACCCTCAATAAATGCCAGGAGAACATAAAGGCAATTATGAGCCTTGATCAAGTAGATTTCAATCTTGGATTTCCTACAGGTGACAAGACTAATGAGGCAGATGATCAACTTTTCTTATCTAATGCCATTCGTCCAATTCCAAATCAATTTGACACAGTAAAGGAAATCATAGAGAATGTTAGTGCTCTTGGAGCCAATCCTAACTTGAAGGCCTCAATCAAACGAGTTTTTTCTTCTGCAGGAAACACATTTCCAGCTTCCAGGAAGGTACCCAACATAGGAAGAAACTCATCTAGAGGAGATGCCCTTGCCATAAACAACATTAGCAGAATAGCAGGAATTGCATTTGCTGTAGCAGCTCTTCTGGGAAGTGTTTATAATATTGTCCAGGATGCCATACACATAAAAAATGGTGCTAAGGCAGATATGACTGCTGAGATCAGACAAAAGGCATGTGACTTGGAAGAGACACTGAAGGATCTCAACAAGCTCTATGATGAAGTGAAACGCATTGTGTGAATATGAAAGCCATCCTAGTTAGACATCTCATTTTATATCATTTGTTCTGCTGGTGAATATGGGAAAGTTGTTTTGCTTCCAGTAAATGACAAGCAAAGATATACCAGTAATGGTAGGAGAATGGGGCAACGCTGAGCACCATCTTCCTTATTTTTTAATATATGTATTAAAAACAATAGTTCAATTGATTAGATAGACATTGTTCAGTCATCAGGACAGCATGATTCCGAACTGGTATCTTATGGCAAAATGTTTAGGTAAATAAACACAGTTGTTAAGCTGCAGAATCCATTAGGATCAGTCGCACATCTTTAAAACCTTTTTTGAGAAGTATGGAAAAGATTATGGGTATAGATTTAAGCCAAGAAATCTGGAAAAATATATTTAAATGTAGGTGCTGGCCCAAAAGAGAGAGAGCCCAAATTAACAACATACAACTAAAAATACTGGATATGTTAAAATAGTTCTGCCTGACAATATTTATAGTTGCCAAGTAATCCAAAGGCTAAATTAACTAGATTAACTGTTTTATATATGGGAAGTGTTGCAATGATTAACATGAAAACTTTTACCTCATTTGTTACTACTTTTGTCCATAATTCAAGTTGAAGTAACTGGAAAAATGCTAAAGAATTTTCAATTATAAAGCATTCTATGTAGAACTATAAACTAGAGGGAAATCTACTAAATTGTAACATGCTTTAAAATAAAATGGTTCTAGACATTCGAGTTAATATCATTTCAGGGCAAAAAAGAAGGTGGGTGAGATGCTGTATTGACAAAATGGGACTGGCACAGTCAGTTACTAAACTCTCTGTTAACCAACACCCAAGAGGAGGGGTAAATGCCAGATAAATGTAGTTCCTGATAGTTTGAGAGTTACTAGTAAAAACTGGCCTAATATTATATGCTATATTATACTGTAAACTCTGTATTGATTTGATATTAATATTGAAATACTATTAACAAATTAACAAAACAAATTAAGAAAAATTTAATTTAACGTAACATCATTTTACTGTTTTATTGTATTATAAAACAGCTGATTTTATTTAACTTTTTTTTTTCCTTTTTTGCCGGTCGCTTGCAAGTTCTGGTTGATTGGGTTCTGGTTAACTGAGAGTCTACTGTACTTAAAATATATATTCATGATTTATTGAAGAATATCATTGCTAAGGCCTGAAGAAAGATATTAAATCTATCTCAGTTTCCATTATTAGTAACTTCCAAAATGCATCCAGGGATGGCTTTTCATCTGACACTTCTATTTTCTTATTCTGTAGCCAAAGCTCTAGATCCGTATCAAAAATAGTTGATTAGGCAGGGTTAACTGCTTTCCCCCTTGTCTGTGGTTTACACATGCTCCGTATATGTTTCTGGAGGCAACTGCTGTTCCCCTTGCCACATGCAGGCAAGCATACACAGAAATAGGATGAGTTCGAGTAGAACCCCATTCTTTCCCACTTCATGGTAAGCCACCCTTGCAGACATACATAAAAAGACTCAGATTGTAGTGTACTTAAAGGGGGACACCATGCAGAAACTGTTATTCATCATATCCACACAAGGATCTTTGCCAAAGTTGGATTATAATTCCCACCATCATCGGTCAAGATGATCACTTTTCTCAGGTGATGGGAATCCAAATATGATGGGAATCCCTAGGCTGATTACCTAAATAATCTCAACAAGGGAAAAGCATGTATTGTATCCTGTTAACATAACTCTGAATTGGCAAGTGGCTATGAAGTCAGATAGTTGTTACTCTTTTCTGAAATGAGGACCCAAAAAGAGCTGGGGACCAGGAGTGACCACAAGTTATCCCAAACACCTTGAAAGACCAAGGTGAATGATCCACAACTGACCCCACTACTTGTTCCTTTCCCAATAATTAATAAATACCAAAAAGGGTGCAGCTATAGCCCTTAGCCAAATATGCTCTGGGAATGCCACATTGCCATCTCTCCTCACAATAGACTTCTCCCTTGAGACCTTAAACCCATCAGGTCGGAAATATCACCCCTTGTCCTACCACATAGGAAAGGAAAAAGGAGGGGGAGAAGAAGAAAGGAAGAGGAAGAAGAAGACCCAGTGCCAATCAACAAGCATTGTTTACCAAGATAGTCCTATCCTGAACTAATGTGTTGCTTGGGGGCAGAAAGGGGCAACATAGATACAGGAGATGCTCAAGAATTCTTCCAGTAAGAACTTTATTAACTTTCCCGTCATACTTTGCACTAATCACAAACTGCAAATGAAGGTACTTTTGAACCAAAAAAATTGCAGTGTAATTTACACCAATCACAGCAATTGCTCATTTTTTTTCAAATGCCTGTCAAATGTCTATAAAATGTCCATGTTTGTAACTGATTTATGTCGGATTTGAACAATTTCACCTGACAATGTGCCTTGGCCAACAAAGCAATAAATCAACTTCTGATCCTGCCCTCAGTCTCCGAGTGTCTCTTTTGGAAGCAATTTGGAGCCTGCACACCAGGAAAAGTGATTTCAGACATCAACTAGAATAAACAAATTTAACAACTTTGGTGTAGTACAAAAGATGTACACTTAACTGAATCTAGGATTAGCATACTTGCCTGAGCTCACAGATTCATAAAAATCACATGTACCCACATGATCTATGTCGTCTTTCTGTGAGATGAAGTGACTGGTTCCATTGATGGTGTTCCTAAAACCCCTTCCTGCAGCAAACACATTATTTGCTGTCACTGCTGTTATGACTTTTTAAAACAATGAGACATTCCAGTGGCAACACTGCGGATTTTTAAAATCTTTTTTATAAGGGAGACTTAACAGGAACTTCGTAGTATGATCCTGTAAACACTGACACTACTCGGCATAAGCAAGTATGGGGAATATGCAGCCCTCCCGGTGGTTTTGGATTGCAGCTCACATCAACTCTAACACAACTTGAAGTAATCATTCTAGATGATCTTCTGCTGCATGCTCACTCAGGTTTCTGTTTGCCTCTCTTTACTGTCTATGGAATCGTGGCTATGGATGGGAAGAGTTTCCAATCAATCCTGTAATTACACGAAGACTAAGTCTAAACCAGGCAAAATAAACTGGAGTAATCATATGTACCAGTGAGGAAGCACTCCAAAACTATTTTGCTGTCCAGTCAGTCAACTGGACCAACAGCACTTTGGCACCGGTGCTTTGTCCTCCTGGAAACCATCATCTCTTTTTCGCCAGTCAACAAAACTTTGCTTCCTATGTTGCTTCTGGTGAAGTCATCACAGGGCATCCAGCCATGTGAACACTGGAAGCATTGTCACCAATAAGCCTCTGTATGGCAACACAGCAGTGGGTCTTTTTGATGTGTGGGTGCAGGATCGCCCCAGATCCAATGTGATCCAACTATCCACATGTCATGAACACCAGGGATTTCCTGGAATCTCTGGAGTAATTTGCAGTCCTCCTTGTGACAGATGAAAGCCTGGAAGAAGCACTTCTGCTTCGGAACTGGCTGTAGATCATCTGGATTATTTGCAGTAGGTTCAAAGTGATACATGGGGTCAGTTGCCCCTTGGGCCACAGAACTAATCTCTTAGACATCTCAGTGTATAGATACAATATTTTTAAACATCTGCTTGTCTTCATTATCTTTTACTGTTTAATTATATTGTTTTGACTTTTGGATACTTTTGATGAAAACATTTTAAAAGCAAATAAACATTTTAAAAAGCAAATACATGTCTGGGGCCTCTAAGAAAAGAGAAGGATACAATTTTCTTAATTGTATTAATCACACACTTTCTGAAAATATTTATAAAATCTTTCTTTAATCAAGTCTGGTTAATTAGTTTTTGTAGTTTTGGAGCCAAGGATGAAACAACAATCTTGAGAAGAGATGACTAGACAAAGTAGGGAGGCAGATAAAACTTTTGAGTTCATGCAATACTTTGACGGTATTCTGGATACATCATTCTCACTATTTATGTTTAAGCTGCACTTAGTCAAAATAGTAGCATTCATGCTTAAGAGCATTCAACCCACTGTGACCTCAGGTGCCAGGAGAAGGGAGAGGGAGTAAGGTATCAACCCCATGGACATATGAACAGCTCTCCCAATTCTTCTGCAACTCCTTTGCCTCCAAGAACACCCCATGAGTATCTCATGTTTAATAAATAAAAAAAATGATTTAATAAATAATAAAAAAATGAACTTCAATGATAGGAATTTGTCATTCACTATTTGTTACATAGTGAGGTTGAACCTGTAATCATGGCTGATGAATAACTGATAAAAGTCATTACTGCTGCATCAACAAATCTCTGGAAACAATATATTGGCAAATGCACAGCTGAAAGTGCTTGAGGAGGGATAGAAAGATGGCAGCAGCTGTTGTTGTGTACTATGTACTATTCATGCTGCAACAAACATTTCCAATGGTTGCCATTTTCTACAAAAAAGACATTCCAAGTTGTGCTCTGAAGTGCATCTGCTTCTGTTGGAACATTCAGCCCACCCATTTATTTCATTTACATTAACAGGCTTTTGCAGGGACGCAGCCTGTCAGTCCTTGTGGAAGATGCAGGGCATGGCTGGTAGCTTTTCTCTTTTAGTCTACAGGAGTTCTGAGTATGTTTTGTTTTGATTTATGGCAAAGGACTAGGAAGAAATTGATAGTGCAGACTTTGCCTGTTTTCGAAATGAGTTTCCAGTCCACAGAGAAGTGACTGAAGAGTTTATCCAGTGCCTTAGAGAAACAGCACGCAAAATTGAGAAGACTTGAAAAAGTTGTACATTGCCACTATGACTGCCAACATTGCATGTGCCACTTCCAGCATCTTAATGCCCTGGGACTGACCTTGGCTCTTCTTACAGAGTTTGGAATCGGCTTAGAGGCAACAGTGACAATTACTCATGCTTCTGCTTCTATGTCTGACCATATTGACTCAGCTGAATTAATAAAACCACAGACAGCAGTGCAACCATGTGCAGTAAGCCTAAAAATGGTGATGAATGAATTAACTGATTTAATATATGAGGCTCTGCGAAAGAAATAAAAATATGTGCAAATGCATTGACAATTGCTCAAGCTAATCCTGAATTGGAGGCTTTAGTTTAGTTAGCAACTTCTGCAAGAATTACAGCTTGGGCTTCAATGAAATGGAATCAAATTGCAGGAAAAGAGATTCCATCCAAACATTAGGAAGAACTTCCTGATGGTAAGAGCTGATCAACAGTGGAATATACTGCCTTGGAGTGTGGTGGACTCTCAATTTTAGATATTTTAAAGCAGAGGCTGGATGGCCACTTGTCAGGGGCGCTTTGATTGCATATTCCTGCAACTGAGTGCCCCCTTGTGTTCTCTTCCAGCTATATGATTCTAAGTTTAAAAAAAGGTTTTGAAATGCAATGGCCAGAGGGACCAAAATGCTCAGGATTTTCTCAGGTGGGATTTGTTACTGGGATTGGGTGTCTTCAGCATTTTCAGAGATGCTGAGCATTTAAACAGGGAGCCAAGGATGAAATGGCACTCAAGATAAAAAAGGGGGGGCAGTGAGTTGGAAACACTGCTGAAAGAACCCCAGAACATCTATGAAATGCTGAATAACAGAAGCAAGGTCCATAATTCTCAAGAATGATTACCAGGAGTTACTTCAGCATCGACACTTTTCCAAACTTTACACAAGACCTGCTAATGCAATGGGTTTTTTTTCTAAGTTCCACAACAGCAGTGGATAGTAGGACTAAATCCAGGGGCTGATGTGCACATGAGCCCTATCTTCAACCCGTATGTGACAGTTTTATTTGGTAGGGTAAACACAAAGGGAATCTTTTTGCATACTCGCCTTCAAAAACACCTATGCCAGTGGTTCTCAACCTGTGGGTCCCCAGGTGTTTTGGCCTACAACTTCCAGAAATCCGAGCCAGATTACCAGCTATTAGGATTTCTGGAAGTTGAAGGCCAAAACATCTGGGGACTCACAGGTTGAGAACCACTGTCCTATGCTGTAATCCCCTCAGGTAGACATGTTTAGGATCCATTTGTAGTCCTCTGAGCCAAGAACACAAAGAAGCAACCAAAGGAGCAGCAGAAATGTATAAGCAAAACTTACAAGCTTGCCTATGTAATGACATCCTAATCAAGAGGCTGAGTGACCCACCTCTACTTTCTCACTGGGATGTGCC